GTTGGCGAGTGCGTCACCACCCGCTCCAAAAGCATCAAAGCATCACCTTCCAGAGTTTACGTATATCTTTCTCGGGCCACACATGCACAGCAAACCCCAGCTATGAAGCCTCATTCGTGCTTTGAACTGGTATAGGTGTGTAAGAGGTATAGCAACATAGCATTCATATGGACCCACAGTAGCTACACGCATGAGGCTTCAAAGCTGTGATTGCTGTGCGTGTGTAGAGGTTATGGAGCGGTTGACGGAAGGGGAACTTGAAGTACTATACCTGGTAGCTGCACTATAGCTACCCTGGGTCTCTATACCTGGCAAGGTGCCAACTACACCTTTCCATTCAGATGATGCAAATGATGCAAATTGCATTTCTTGCATCACCACCCCTCAAAAATCACCTCCAACACAACCTCAAAAAACCTTCCCTCGACGCACCCTCCTCCCCCAGCATGTGCCGAGTTTACGTGTACCTTTTGCGGGCCACCCCCCCTAGACCCCCTAACTACTCACTTCGTTCGCCAAACACAACTCCGCTGGCGCCTTCTACGAAGGCTGGCTTTCGTAAAGAACGTATCATTCATTCCCTCACCTGAATTCACCTCATCCTTCCATTCTTCCTGAACCGTCAACCTGATATAGGTCATATAGGTCCTTTTCTTCATGTTCTTAAGCTTCTTTCGAGTGTCCTCGGCTTCATCCAAGCTCATCCCAACCAACAAACTCATACATTTACCTTGTCTTCCTCCTGCCGGCTTCATCAAGCTCGTCCCCATCCTAGAAATCTGATGGACTGACCTTCCCTTCCCCAAGACTCTCTGCTTCATCAAGCTCATCAGCATCAAATAATTTTGGGTTCACCTTCCCTTCATCCCTTCATCATTCCTCATTTGCTTCTCATGCTCATGCAATTCCTTCCTGATGCACTTCGATGCTCTCATAGCATACGTTGATCTCATAAACTGCATCCTTGTAACATATCTTTGGAGCCTCTCCGGAGATGAAGTCTTTGTGTCAAACCATGTTCTTTTCTTGCTGTGTCATGACCCTTGACTCCTCATCACAGCTCACCGAACATGGGCAAGGATGTTTTTGATGGGTTACTTTGCATTTCGAGGGATTTCCCTCAAAGACTCTCTCCACCAACCCAACCACATCAAACTAAGTCTCAGCAATGCGACACCACCCCACACCACACGACACGACACCCGCCTCTCGCCAGGTCCGGCCACCAGGCAGCATCCGGCTTCGGCAGCTCCGAGGCCGATGTCAACAGCCGTGCTTTGCAACAGCCTCGGCGAGCGCGGGTAGCGCGGGTGAGGTTGTCCCTCGGTGTTCTGGAGACAGGAGCGTTTTTCGGCGGAGGAAAGAGGAGGGAAGGGACTCTCCGGTGTTTTCTGGTGAGGTCTCTCCCCATGCTTTGTTTTCGGGGGGAGGGAGAAGTGGCAGCTTGGTGACCCTTGGTGACCCGAACCAGAACATGGGCCTTTAGTGACCAGTGATGACAAAGCTGATCATAGCTGATCATAGCTGATCCATAATCAAACCACTCATAGCTTTCTCCTTGGACAAAGGCTACAAAGAGTGGTGACGGTTTGTAGTTTCTTTCCCCAAGAATTCAAAACCCGAAGATGTCCCAAAACAAAGAGTTCTACCATGCATGGCCACATCACGACTCACGACTCAGGCCAATGGCATTAGCTTTCAACAAAACTAGCTGTCCAACTCACTGGCACTGACCCCTCTGGCACTGTGCCACGTGCACTGACCCCTCTGTCCGACTGGGTCAGCCGGAACCGGCTGGAATCGGATGCCCGTTCTCTCAAGCCGAGAGCGTGCCGGGCTGAGGTCGGACGTTGGGAGCCGACCTGGAGTGACCTGGAGTGAAGGAGCCTCCTGACCTCCTTCCTTCAGATGGAGGGAGGCATGGACTTTCCACACCAAGGCGAAACCATGGCTCCCATGCAGTCCCAAGAGTTCGCCCGGTTTGAGTGGTGGATGTCCCGGTGAATACACCATAAGACACCCGGTAGACGGCTCGAGCTTTGCCAATCGCTCGGGCGGAGCAGGTCTTGCACCCGATGAACGGACCGCCGGACATGATGAACGGAATTCGGAGGTTGGATCAGCAAAGCCCATGAATCCCCTAGAAAAAACAATAAAAAACAATAAAAGCATATCGATATAGGTTCTTTTTCATAGATTGGCCCGCATCAACTACTGGAAACATGACAGTCTACAATAAACAAGATTGAAGTTTAATAACTTACATGTTCAAAACAAACGGCCTGGAGCTTGATATGGGGCCTTTTCATTTTGTGTGAAAACTCTTGACCAAACACCCCAAAACTGTCTGCAGCCAGTGAGGCTGGAGGGGCCAGCAAAGTGCCATATCCGAAGCAAGCCCAAGGGTGCAGGATTCAGAAAGGCCGCCTGCAATGGCGAGCTCTGCCCTCTCTGCTGTGGCAACTCTATGTTCAACAAAAAAGTCATCTGGCTCCTCTGTTCAGTGGCCCAAGCAAGGAGGTCAAAGAAACTGAAAGTTGATGAAATTGCTGTCTCCTCCTATCCTGCATCTGATTCCATTAAAGAGAAATAGCATTGCGTCATTGAAGGATTAAACATATCCTAAATCATCCTAATATCTTCGTGCTACGCATACGGGTCCTACAGTCACCTCATTATACATGCTTGGAGTGCTTGTTGGTGCTTGGTTCCAGACATGGTGTTTCCACAATACCCTACTTAGTACAGTGTAAGACCCCGGTGACACTCCGAAGAAATGCTGTTATATGATATATATGACTTGAAAGATCCAGTTTATAAGGAGAATAAAATCATGAACATAGTAAAACAGCGGACCTTCTCTTTGAGTTTGGTTCCAAATTCCAAGACTCCAACCGCAGAATCACATCACTCGTCCCCCTCTCTCGAATTCTCTCAGACAACAAGACCTGTCCAATCTGAGACAGGGAACTTGTTGCACATCTTGCGAAGATGCCATCTGCACTATGGCTCGTTTCTGGAAGGAAGACGCAGCTCCCCGTTTTGGAGGCCTGTTAGACCTGTTTGGTTTCGAGTTAGGGATCCTGGCTTAGCCAGCCATCCTGTAGCTCCGGCTGTGAGATGAAACATGGTGATCTTCACCACTCCTCTTTGAGCGTGTTGAGCTTTTGCTAGCTGCAAGCTGTCAAACTGTCACAAACAATTACCACATGCATGCCATGAGGGTCCTATATGTCTGGGGGAATGCTTTCACCCTTTCTACAAGCTGATCGTATGTTTTCTTGTAAACTGTGGTCCCCATACTCTTTGGCAAACTCTCGATTCACGCTTGGGTGACTTGGGTGAAAGGGATCAAACAGCGCCTGTGACTTGGGATCGCAAGCGTGCCTGCTGACATGTATCGGTCACACCACGTCTCCCACGTCTCAGCACGTCGAGACGTGACTTGAGCCCAATGTCCAACACCACCGTGGTGCGTCTGCTCATGTGAAGAAGTGACCAGTTACCCGTGTGTCTACCCATGTTCTGTGTCAGTGATATCTTGCATCAGCAGGTAAAGAGTATTGAGTGGTGAAGGGATTTGCGCCATCTTGCAGGCAATAGGATATTTGTTGGACTTTTGAAATGGAATTCAAGAAGATGGACAATAATTTTTAACCAATATCAGAACCAATCAATTGCTCGATGTGCTGTGCACTTCGTGGGAGACCCTCGCTTTCGAGATCTATATAAGTGCAGTCGCGGTGCCGAGTGTAGATAACCCTGTGAACACTGGTGGGCTCCTGTCTGGCCTCCCTTCAATGGTCCTACTACAGAAGGATCAATTCATCGCAAAGCGCTCACGCTCACAGGACCCGCCAGGACCCGTCAGGACACATGAAAATAGCTTGATGTCCACCTGTAAAGCACTTTCGAACCAAATCCAACATCACTTAGGAATACTTAGCAGTTGTAGATATTCCGTGATATTCATTATCGATAACTGCGCCACTAAAGAGACGCTTTTCTTCACCATACTTCCCCCTGCTACCGGATTCCTAGCATTCAATCTCATAGAATCTTCTTTGCCAGCCTCAACTTCAATGACTTGAAGACTTGATCGAGCCACCAATTGAAGCAGTCTATATAGCAAAACTTAGCAGCACAATGACTTCATTTGCCATTGAAGCAGTCTGTAGGCAGTCTAGGCGTACAATTCAGGTACCCCACCGAACGGTCGAAGACCGCCGCCGCCTGGGCTGTTTGAGCTGCCTTGGGGGAAGAGCTCTTCCAGCGAAGCACCGTGGTCCACCTGCTCACAGAGTGAGGCCCCGGAGGTGCGGGGTCAGTCGAACAAGTTCAAGTTCGTCCGGACAGGAGGTTTTTCTCCGGACAAGCGGCGCATCTGACAGGAGGTTTCAGTTCAGGGTTTCGATGGGCGAATGAACCTCATGGCTTTGATCCTTCCGAGTCTCTCTACTGGTAGGACCCACCACGAAGTTCTTCCTTAAGGCTTTTAATCTTTGCGCGTCGCTTCGATTCGCCGTCTTACAGCATGATGCTCCCAGCGATGTCATTCAGAAAGCCACATCCAATCCCTTCTCCACGAAGCTCGTCCCCAGTCACCTCAAGAAGGCTTCCATGCACAGCAAGCGTCGCCGCTTCTCCTCAGACGAACCACGCGAGTTGAGCCTACGGGTGGGTCACGCACCCATTCATCTCGAATTGAAAAGGGACCTTCCCCCGTGGCCCCCCTCTCTTTTGAAGGAAAACACTTTGATTCATGTTGATTCATGTACACCCGCTGAAAAAGCAAGCTACATTCATTCAGTCCAACATGGTGGACCCAACATTTTGGGTGTTATTGCTGTAGAAAGGCCACCCCAACAGAATCCCTCCTTCACCGCTCTTCCCGGCAACCACATGTCTTCCTGAGCATGACTGTCCAACCGTCGCCGGTGAAGCGAAGCTCAAAACATCTCCCCAATCGAAAAGCCCCAAAACGGCCCCCAAAAGCGCCCAAAACCGTTTGGGACTTCAAGGGTGATTGAAAAGTATCACAAAGCGTTTGATCCAGGTCTCTTCTTTCCCATGTGAAGTCCTACCTGTCCTACCTCAGCTTGAAGGCGCTCAACCCTACCACCCAACCCATCCCTCGCGCCTCGATCGAGGAGACCACGGCCAGCACGCGGCCAGGGCCCGTCGTCCGGCTCACTGAGCGTTTCGGGCAGAGCGACGGGACGGATCCGCCATTGGTTGGAGGAAGTCATGGCAGGGACGGCAGGGACGGCACTAGGGATGATGCAGATCATGGTCCTTTTTTGGGGGGAGAGATGATGCCCTTCGGAGACACTGTTATGTAGGTTTGGAGGGTCCAAGTACCTTCTTCAGAAGGTACTTGGATCCCTACAAATGAATTAGGAAAGGGTTGGAAAGCCCTTTAGGACTTGTCACAACATGAGGCTGGCAAGGTGGTCTGCAGAAGTTCAGTGGGTCAGGCGCTCTTCCCCCGACCGCGACTGGAAGTGTTTCTGCAAGAGAAAGGGTACCGGGCAGTCATTTTTTTCAAAACTTCCAGCTACTCTTCCAGCTGATCGCCTATGAATCGTTGACCAGGGCCCGGTGGAGGATGTTGAAGGAAATGCAGAGATGTTACGTACCGGTGCCACCACAGGGATCCAGCTCCAAGTATGTGGGGTGTCGGTCATGTTGCGAGCTGTGAAGGCAATGTATGTGGATCGGTCTATCAAAAAGACACACGGGCTGGGAATAGTGGCACGGAAAGCTCTATGTAATCACATGCGTCCTCAGCAAAAAGACAAAAGGTCACTATATACAGTTTTCGGGTCCCAACAATTCCCATCTATAGTCTCAAGAAACCATGCCTTCATCAGTCCATCGCCCTAGAACATCTAGAAACCCCAAACAAAGAACTCACATACTGAAAACATGAGACAAAAACCGAAACTATGACAACACCTGGATCTCATCTCATCTCCATCTGATCTCCTCCCGATCTCGTGATCTCGCGCACCACTCCGACGTCATCCACCGAGGCACATAGCGCACTCACCGAGCGTTGGAAGCTCAGATCCGCCGCCCAGCGCCGCCACCTGGGCGAACGTCCCCTCCGCACCGGTGGAGGGTGAGCGCGCATTGGGCGCCACCCCAAAACGGAACGGTTTTGAAGGGGATGATTTGGAACAAAGCTTTGGCCTAAGTCTCTAGAGAGCTCTAGGATCAACATTGAACGAATAACAGCGAAACTAAGAAAATATGGAACTGGACTTACAAGTCGGACTACAAACCGATTTAAGACTGACCAATTATAGTCTGATGGGTTGACACCAAATCCGGACATCTATCCACACCTTCATCAAATCCCACCCAATCCAGACCTCGACCTTTGGTCTTTAGACTGGCATCCGAGTCCTCTGGCCGTCGGAAGGCATCGGACCTCGGCACAAAAAGATCCGAAGAACTTGGACCTGGCACAGAACAAAGAAGAATCCTTTTTGTAGCGCTAAAGAGAGAAGATTTTAGTTATATATGTTATATATTAGTGCTATTGCTTTCCTTGTGGGAATCATATGGTAAAATATTCATCCCATCAATTGAAGCGGTACCAGTCCTATAGCAGTTTTTAGGGCAGAATTGGAAGGAATTTATCTGTCCTCGACGATAGATGGATCTTGAGGTAGGTACAGCAGAATCTGCAATCTGGAACGATTCAATCTTATGGCCACCGATCGCTCCTGCTGTCTTCTTGGAACATGTATTCTGGTCTTTGCAGAGTCTTGATAGATCAACATGAAGATCCACAGATCATAGTTATATGTTATATTGGATCCCTCTTCATCCGCACTCTTCATCCAGCTGAATTCCTTTCTAGCCATGTCTAGGTCTAGATCAATCCACTGAGTGCCCGTGGAAAAACCGCCGCAGTGCCGGTGACCGGGCGCCCAACAGCATGAGCCCACGGGAGGCGAAGGCCTGAGCTGTTTGGGACAAAGGAACCCCACATCAGTTCGGGTGGTGAAAACCAGGGGTCCATGTAAGTAACACATGGCGAACATGGATGGAGTGTGTTTGGGCTGTTTTTTTGGGTGACGAAGATCTGCGCAGATTGTTGGATGTTCTGGCACGTGGACGAGGCCGCCTCAGGTTTTGAATCCAAGACCATGGCAGACTTTTCAGTTCGCGCCAAGCTGCATTGCTCACTGGTATTTCATGAATGGATTCTTCGTTTTGCACAACCCATTCCAACCCATTCACACAATATATTCAAACCTCCTTTCAAAAAAACAACAACTATATGATTAAATCTATATTCTATATGTTAGCACCCCCAAAAAAACAACACCTGGGTGGTGATAGCCCCTCTCTCTCTCTCTCTCCAGTAGCAGTTCTCCAGCCATCCGGCCGCCAGCGGCCCGTCTGCCCGCCCCGCCGTCGTCGGGTCTCCCGGACGAAGTGGGCCGCCTCAGTCTCGGCCAAGGCCTTGCGCAGCTGTGCCGAGCTCTCCCGCGCCAGGCGGAACCTGGGAACGGCGGTCCCGGCCACGGCCCGGTGGCCTGGGTTTTGGGGGGAAGAAGAAGTGACCAGGGGGGGCATGGTTTTGGGCAGGTGTGTCAGGGTGTCTATCTGAAATGAAGTGTCTATCTGTGGCAGGTGGTTTATCATGAAGTTGGAGGACATCTTGGGATTTGCACGGGATTTTCGAGGTGGGAGCACCCTTCACCGTGTCCAGCACCATGGGCTTTTTCTGCATCCGCATCGGCCGTCCCACATCTGCCACACCGTCGGACTCGGGGGCCTCCAAGCCATGAAGGATGCAAAGAGCAATAAGCGCATCTTCATCGACCAGAACTTGGCCGCCTTAAAGGCTCGATGAAGAACGAGGCGAGGGTCGCGGAGCTGTCGGCTCTGCTGCGTCGCGTCGCACGGTGGTGGCAACGCACGCATCCGCCTGCGCGGCCTGTGAGTGGGACATGGGTTTGTGACTTGCCTTCACCTGAAGGTATGGGGATTCGATGGGGAATCGACCGTTTCAAACATTTTACCTGGAGAGATCGTGCCAAGTTCTTTGGTTCATGTATTCCAAAGACTAACACCGTAGACCTAGAATCCCTGGTTCCTTATATATATATATATTGGTTTGCCTGGGATGCACTGGGTATGTTAATGTAGCAAAGAATTTGGAAGTGAAATGCACAGTTCAGCGATGTACCAAGGAGAGCTATTTGATCCAGGGGAGGAGAATGTAGAGACCCTGTGGGATCCGCTCCAAGCAAAGAGAAAAAACACCATGGGGTTGCCCAGGTTGCCCCATCCAAGCGAATCAAAGAATCCAAACACCAATTCAACAGAAAATAGTGACTGACAGGCTGTCAGGTGATGAATCTGCCTCAAATCCCCCCTTCTTCACCCTTTGCTTCGCTTTTTTCGCTCTCCCAAAGCGTGATCCGCAGCCGCCGGACGTCGCCCAGGTCCCCCCCGCCAGGCGTGATCCGCAGTTGGCGCCGCGGTCGCCCAGGCGACCCATCGCTCGATCTGGAGAGCGACGAGGCGGACGCGAGGGGTTGGTGGAGGACGAAGCGAGGACGGAGCGACAGCTTTCAGGTGCAGTGAAGTATACAGAAGTAGAAGATGTGGGACACCTACACCAGGACCTACCAGGTGCGGAAGAAGTAGAACATGTTGGCGAAATGCCAAGGACATGGTTTTGGGGTTGGGTCACCCACAAGCTTGAGCTGCATCAATTTGGGTGATGAATGGCGGGGAGGGTAGGACACTAGGACATACCCTCCAACAGTCATGGCTCTCGAACCAAGACCATGTTGCCTTGCAAAACGAGGCTGTTCTACCTTTGTTGGAGGGAGGGACGGTAGAAACTATGCCTGCGGCACGAGGACACCAACTCTTGAGGAAATCACATGATTATGTTGGGATTCTAACCCTGGCACCTGTAGGTATGAACGTTCCAATGATCTAGAACACAGTTCCTGTGTGGCATGACAGATTTCAACTGATTTGTCATGTGGTAGTACCCATGTGCTGATGCTTTCGGTACAACTGATGCTTTCATCTCGACGAGGAGAGATGTTGCAAGTCGTCGCTCGTCTCAAAACAGGCCAGCTCTTCTCCACTGCTGCCGAGTCTTTTCATGGCGTGAAGCTTTTGCCTCCTGCGGTTCGGAGTCAATGTCATAGAATTGAATGGATTGCAAGAGTGCCAATTACAAGTGGTATATATAGTATCTCATCATATCATCCCTTCAAGCCTCAAATCCAACATCTTCATGTCGCAGAATGGAAGCGCATGCAGCAGCGAGCTGCACGTCGCACATGCGCTGGGCGAACTCCATTTTATCTTTTTGCTTCGCTCCTCCCGCGATGCCTCTTGCGTCTTTGAAGCGGCGGTCGCCGGGTTCGACGAAGCGTGGCGCTTAGCGACGCGGAGCGATTGGATGACATTTGCCGCCGGTCATTCAGAGGACAACTCCAACTGCTTGGCAATCCCCCAACAAAGGAAAAACGCTGCTGAGCCCTCAGCGAATCATTGAAAGCCCGAAGCCTTGAAAAAGAGTGGACTTTTGAACGATAACTTGAGAAGTTCCTGTTACAAAATATGATTTTTTTTTATATTGGTGTGGCCTAGCCGCTTCATTGCTCTGCAGAGGTCGACGAAGAACGACCAACTGACGCACACCAGTGCCACCAAAGAAGACAAACATGTCGCTCTGACTTTCAGGATTTCTTGCAGCATCATCCCCTTTTTGCACTCTCAATCAAAGCATTAATATTCCAATCATTTTCTGTCCAAAAAAAGTCGTCCTCCAACTAACCATCCAGGAGACCTTAACACGTCAATCTGCCATTCTCATCATCCAGGAGCATGTGAAACTCGCGCGTTACTCAGGGCACGTCAAAAGGTTTCAAACGGGTTTACGGACTTCAAACCACCCAACTGTCAAGCCTTGATGTTCGGCACGTTTTTGTGGTCACTGCCCCTGCAAAGCCACATATTGCCTCACCATTCATGGTCTTGAGAGACATATATAAACAGTCTTTTAGAGGTGAAAACACAAGTTCTGATTGTGTATAATCACATTCTTCACGCCCATAACCGAGAACAGCCCCCATCTCATGATCATCTCTGGTGGCGAACTTGAGCACGAGATGTTCCATGCCCATGCATGCCCACATCTTCTCAAAGGTTGATTCGTGGCTCAACAGTCATCAACTAAACACATCAAACGAGGTAAAATCTGGCACCATCGATGGACACTGGTTTCCCATTTTGTCCAGCACAAACTGCTTCTGAGCATTGGTCCGTGACCTCATCCTCTCAGCAAGGTCACGCTCATCCTCTCACCATGGCTAGTAGACTCCTTAAAGATCTTAAAGACCACCTACTGACAGGCTCCTGGATGACTCACTAAAGGAACAAATCACAGGCAATTCAATCGAGTGGACGGGCCATCTGCAGCCCTCATCCTTTCACGCCCGGAAAGCAATGAGCTTTGTAGACGGGCGCAGCTGCCGCAGTTCCTGCAGCTCGCACAGCAACCGCGATCAGCACCCAACAAGTTTGCCTTCGACTTGTTCGAACCGAGCCAGTTGTGTTCGGACCCATGGGATTTCGGGGGAACTTCCGCTGCTGACGAAGACAGGCGCGGCAAAAAAGTCGACGTGGACTCTGTATTGATATGTCCCATCACAAAAAGAATGCGTGGGCGTGAAAAGAAAACAAGAGAAAGAAGCAAATTAGAAGAGAAGATTGAAAAACACCAATCAATCCAGAACAGCACCAACAAACGGTGCACCCATTTCTTGCTTCAGGCTTTGTCTCCCATTTAGACCTCCCAGTCAAGAAACTCTGCCGATGCCTAAGGCGTCACTTTCCTGCACCCGAAATAAACACCACACCCACACCATCCACGTCCACGTCACGCAACCACGGATCACCGATCTGAGCTCCGGCCATTCTCAGCGAGGTGCGGTTCATGTGTGCCCAAATCTCATAGCCACAGGTGAAGTCAGGTCGTGTGTCCAAGACCTGGAGGACGACGGTAAAGGCACTGTCCGCGACGGCATGCTGGCATGGGCCCACCGAACAGAGGCAGTTGGGGCCCACCTGTGTGGTCAGCAAGACGACCAACCTCATGTTGGGGCCTACCTGTGCGTCACTGGGGTTGAATCATTTGTGTTGCACTAGTAACTGTGGCGCCGTGCAGCAAATTTAAAGGTGACAAACCTGCCAAACCTGCTTCGATGGACATCCATCAAGCACCAGGCTGTGAATTGAGCTTCGGGGTCCCGCCATGTCTCTGGGAGGTAGAGAAGGGAACCTCTCCGAGGTCCCAAATGCTACACCCTGGAAGACTAACATAGACCCTGAAAACCACTGGTTGGTAGAGGCAAACACTCTTCCAGGGGGCCAGACAGTCAGGGTCTATGTTAGTTTTCGGGAGTGTACAGGAAAAGAGGCCACACCCTATACACGTGGAGCGGTCCTCGATTCAAACCCACTTGGAGTATCCACCGTTGGAGTGACGAAGACGGCCTCCGAACATGCGATCGAAACCTTCTTTCAAGCCGGCCTATTTTGACCGGGCCTTGGAAGGGATGCACTACAAATCGGTGCACTGGCAAATAGTCCTTACAGGTCAAAGACCTCACTTTACTGAAGTTGATCTACAAACACTCAATGAGGTGGACCAGGCTTCACTGGGTCTTTGGACCTGTAGGAAACATTACATATACCAGGACCCGGTCACCAACAGGTCACCAGGTCACCATTAAGTCGAACCAAAAGCCACCAGAGGAGTCCTGAAGGTATAGGTGCTGGTACATGTACTGTATAATATATATATATATATCATTATATATCGAATACGGTCATTCATGGACCATGAACGGGCATTCCAGCAAAGAACGCTGGATCGAGTTTCTTCCTTGCGAATCATAGCACCTTAGGGGACGGGGACCTTGCAGCGGGGTCACTGAGGCTGAGGGGTCATACCCTACACTACGTACTTGTGGATCTCCATTTGACTTTGACACCCCCAAAAAGGCCAGGTCCCTGGTATCGTCCTGCACCCACCGAGCCTTCATCTGCCCAAAAACGCAGCCCTGCACGATCAAGCCCAAGATATTTGCCTCACTCCAATGAACATCAGTATATATTATATATATATAGTGTATTATATATATATAATATAATATATACTATATATTATATTATATTATATTATATATATAAGTTATACATAAACATCAAGCAATTCAACTGGTGCAATGCACACTTTCTCGAGGATGAAGGATTACTCAGCCAGCATACCGACAAGATTCAACAAGTGTATGAATCGTGGTCGATCGGTGGTGGACTTCCAGTAGCATCATGTCTTGGGTGATCTGGAGCAGTTCTCGGATACCCAGTGATAGGGAACCTGATCTATGTCTTCTCTGATTCCCTCAACCCCTCTACATAATCCTCAACGAAGACCTATGAAGTGCTCCTTAATCAAATACCGTTAACATCCGTTAACCACTTAAAGACCACTAACTTTCTTCTGCCCTCGCCTCCACCCCCCCCAAGAAGCCCCTGGCTATTCACGGTCTCATGTCGACAAGGCACTGTGATGATGCCGAAGGTATCGGCCACTGAAGCACTGGAGAGTGCCAACTCCACGAAGGCTGGGTCTTGCTCCTTGGGTGGAAGCTCGGTGCTGGGCTGCGAAAAATGCACTCCCTATCAAGTACCAGCAGTCAGGTGGGAGTGAGAATTGGTCCGTGCACAACGCTCCATGTATGGAATACATGAACATGAATACATTGGCCAATGCAACCTCGGCAATGTAGGACAAACATGTCATACATGGAACCCTTTAAGAGCTATACCGTCTCACAAAGAACCACAACATCAGGGTCAAAACGAGCAAAAGCTACATGCACTCGCATGGACTGATCAGTTGAAACAGAAGCGTCATTGCTGGGAAACGTCAATGTGGATGTGCCCCAAAGCCTTGTAAGCGTTACTTTCACGGTGCAGGTCGTGCTGGTATTGTACCCTCACTTCAGTGATGGCTTTCAGCACCATCTGTCCCCTGCTCGTTATTGGAAAAAACAGCAAAACGACATCCGCCAGCACAGAAGGAACATTGGCCACCCTGCCATCCCTGCCCACACCCGTGGAACGCTCCTGGGAGATCAAGGTGAAAGCGCCCACATAGACACCTCCACCCAAGAAACCCACGAACAAGGCCGGCGCGATAAGCCACCAATCTCCAAAGGGTGTCCTGGCCGGTGAAAGATATATAACCGAACCGTGTCAGGCACGTCCTGTTAGGGGGGGGGTTCAGAAAGAGCATTGGATCCACAGTTTTTGGAGGTTGTCAGGCCTTGAATGGGAGATCTTTGTTGCATCAACCTTGGTCGTTGGTGCTTCAAAACATCCCCGCGTCAAAGTTGGCGCAACCAACATTGCAATGATAGGATGATCTTGGATCGTTTGGAAAGCCATGCGACGCGACCGTCTGGCAAACGAAAGCCATGCTGCTGCGACGGTCCATTTCGGCTCTGAGAATCCGTGCCACGTGGATTCCTTACTCCGGCACACCTCCCGCACCTCCCTATACTTTTGGAGTTAGATGATCACATGGGTTTTTTTCAATCACTTCAAGGCACCATAGGTTTCTGCCTGCACCTCGAAAACGCTACCCACCAGATCTGCCCCACCTCGTGGGGCCTTAGGAAACCAACCACGGTCTGACCCACGGTCTCCCGTCTGAACGAGCGAACAGAGTGGCGTGGCGGCTGCACCAAAGAAGCCCACCATGATGACCTGACGGTTGGGTGGACGAGGAATGACCACACAACTGGGCTAGAGTATAAAATCACTAGCTATAGAATGAAACAACAATACGACAAATGCCAAACAACTAGCTAGATTATAGACCTACTGATGTCACTTGGTGTTTTTTGCTAACGGTTGATCGGTGTATGTGTGCGTGTTGACAGAAAGAACAATCCCCTGTAACCCCGTATAACCCATCCACTACCAACAAAAATGATTGGCCACCTGCATAGATAATGAACCTCCAAATCTTTGAGCCGGTTGGAGCGTCTTCCAGGGAACTCTGGGGATCCTGATAATGGATCCCAGCCAGGACAGAAACTCTTTATTGTTCCCCCGCGGACCAGCGCTGGCCTGAAGAATGCCACCCAACCACAAGATTTTCCGACTCTTGCAAATCAGCACGAAGGAGGACCTCACAGAGTTGCGACTGAGCCCAGGGCACCAATTTTTTGGCATGTCCAATCAACATTGACAAAGCAACGACATAACTTGGTAGTGGTTCACTGTTTCCGCGCGCATTTTGGCGCGGTTTCTTCCACAATCTGATCAATTGGCAGTTGTCCTCAGAAGGTTGGACGCCTGGAGATGAAAACGCCGATCTGATACGTGAAATTGGCCCACTTGTACCTCAAAGGCAAGAAGACTTGGCTTGAATGCTTCCAAAGCGGGGGGCCGTTCTCACCCCTGGAGATTGAAAGCATCTACTGTATTCTAGTGTCGTGAAATGTTTACGGAAACGTGCAGTTCTTCGGGTCCGCTGCCGGCCCAGTCTTCAATTGTCTACATGCACCCGGTGCCTTCAATTAATGTCTATTTTGTGGACGACCTCTCCAATATACCATAATCCAGTATCCACTCCAAATGTAGATAGCCTGCCACTTCCATCCTGCAACACTATCACACGCAGCTGTGAGCATCACAAATACAAGACCAAATCTAATGTTCAGCAAAGTTACCACGCATGGCGCGAAGATCGGTTCGTGACCTTGGCAAGCTGCAGGACGCGGCTCAAAGCAGGAACGCCTGGCCTCACATCGCATGTGCCCTACAACTCTGCGTTGCACGCGCTCTGCACAAGGCACTGCCAGAGCCGCACTCTCGGAGCCATTCAATAAATTGCCAAGCCACCGCAGGCATCGGAATTTTACGGCCGAAGCGATACATGTCTTACAAAGAAAGCACCTTACCATGTCTTTGCAGATTGCGCCAACACATTCCGAGTAAGACGTGGCTCAGGGCCGGGATCGGGATAGTGGAAACAGCATCTGGTGCCAGTCATTCCAGACCCATCCCTTTTTCTGTAGTACAAGCTCCAATGATCGACACTTATATATTTATAAACACCTCCTGCCAGCCATTCCTTTTGCGACCAAGATGTCCGGGATGGATACACCGTTGTGCGGTTTTGCACCGCTTATGGAAGTGTCAAGCAATTAGGTCTTCGCCGGCCATCCGCGTCGGCACCACGTGTCGGCCATCCAAGCCATTTCATTGCTGGTAGTCAGGACAGGCATAGGCACAACACCGGAATTTGAGAAAATGCATGAAAATGCGTAGACTGAAGAACCTCTGTGAAGGACCAGAGCCACTTCCAGCCCCAACTCTGCCGGTTAAAACAAAGCGAAAGCCATGTTGAAACCGGAGATGCTTCTTCTTCGACCCGGACGGCATTTGCGCACCAACGCTTAGCGAGCTTAGCTAGCTAGTCGCTGGTCTCGCAGGTCTCACAGGTTTTTGGGGTCGAACGCTGACAGATCGAGCTCCAAAAGCTGGGACCCCAAGGTGTTGCCCAGGGCATCCAGGCAGTTCCCACGATGTCACTGGTAACCAGTGGTTTCGACCGAACGAAGGGCCCCTGGTTCCTGAAAAATAGTGGTTTGCCTGGGATCCACTGGGTTGGGCGTTCCTTTTTTCAGCATCACTTCAGTCGCGCACAGGAACGAACCAAGAAATTGGAGGCTCTGCAGGTCCAGGAAGAGGGCTGTTTCTCCTGCAGGTCCAGGAATGGCTTTGCCCTTTGGCAGGAGCGAACGGCAGAGCTTTCACCGAGTTTAAGCGGTTTCTTAATGCCTCTGGCCGTGTCATGTCTAGTTGCTAGTTTTCTGCCGGCAGTGGGTGTTCTACATATTATATATCATTTTGACCTACAGTTTTAATGTCCGATGCATGTAGTTGAATGACGCTAGACACTTGTCCAAAAAGGCTAGGATCATGACCTGAAGACTATACCTGGAACTGACTTCCCTACTTCAAGCGCTTAAAGTCAAATAGGATTCTTTTTGATCTTCAACCTATGGAGAGTTTCTACGGGTGAAACCGCCTTCATCAGCGGCATGGCATGGCTTCATATGGCTTCAAAAGAACACAAACAGCTTAATTAGCAGCTAATTCAGGCATCCTCTCTGCCAGAATCCACCGCGTTAACGCCGGTTGCCGCTTGCCAGAATCCACCCAAAAACAGTGCATGGAGGTGAACCAAGTTACTCGTAGTTCGTGGTCGGTTCCCAGGTCCGAGTTGGCCAGTGCCGCGGTCCGTCGGCTTTCTCTGTTGCGTCCAGAATGGCCGTTTCCCAGGATGCGAGGGCAGTTCCCATCCCGAGATCAAGGACGAAGATGAGTTACAACGAGACCTGGCGAACGTGACGGAACCGAAGTGCCGACCGCCCTTTCAGGGCGACCGCCTTAACCCAGAAAAGCATGGCCCAAAGACGACTAATGGGACTGCCATATATGCCGATCAATTGACCCCCAGTCAACCACCCCAATTTAGCGAATGTAGGCATGCATATATGGCAGTCCCATGGAGTGTCTGGGTTGGCGTAGGCTGCCCAGAACAGCGTGCCACTAACGAAAACCTAACCGGCGAGTTCTGGCGGAAGATTGGGTTGGTAGCAACACAGAAATTTCGTGCTGCAGTCCAGCGACGGGGAAGCCCATAGCCGCCCAAAAGCCAGCTTGGATCCTGAGACTGAGAAGGAAAAAGAGCCATATAAAAAATGTTGAACATGTTTGCTTGGCACTCTTTCATCACAGCAAAACCTTTTTTGCTGGTTAGGTGTTTGATCACAATCATGACCGGGGAGTCCTGCATCAACTTCGGAGAACACATGACGAAACCAGGCGCGACGTTGACAGGCGGGTTGGGGCGTAGAGTCGGTGGCCCAGCTTGGTGCGAAGATTCAAAGCTGACCGGTCGTCCGGATGTATCCAACAAACATGATAAATCCTTTCCAGATCTAACCAGGTTTAGAAGAAAGGTTAGATCCATATTACATGGTTAAATCCTTTCCAGATTTCGCGCTTCAAACCGATCTGTCGACGGTTCCGATTGCCCATGCTCGATCCCATGCATGCAAACGCGCGAGCGCCTCAGCGCGCTATATCCTTCCTACGTCCGGAATCCGGCCTCCGTCGAAACACATTCATCCTGGATCCGCTCAGCCCCTGCCTCCCCACCCCACCGACCACCGGTCGCCGGTCGCCGGCCGCGACGGGAATGGTGCGACGTGAGGCTCGTGTACTCGGCCGCATAGACCAGAAAGAGTGGCACCATGTAGGGCCAAAGCCCCGCAATGAAGCAGAACCGTTCCTGCCAATGTGTCTGACGTCTGAAAGAATGGATATATGGGACGGTGGATATATGGGACTGCTATAGTCAAATTCTTTTCTAGCGATCCAAGAGATGTTTGGCAGCCATCCTTGGCCCGCGTTGTTTCTACGCATCCTTTGTGCCGCTTGATGAAAGTTTGGCCAACTTGGCCTAGCCTAGCTACATCAGCACCGCACTGCGCCCTCACGCGGCCACTTGCTACATCACAAACTTGTTTCTGGCGTCCCGAACGGAATGTTCACAGTAATCAAGGACATGGGGACGGTATACACAAGGTCTATGAACCCGGATGTCAGGTTTTCTACAGGATCCAGGCTTGGTGTTGCCATCGCCTACACCCATGCTTTCAGACAGAAAAAAGACATGGACAAATCACCAAACAAATGGCCAAGACTCATCCAGTGGGACGCAAACAACAAGATGTGTACTAAAACGAACAAACAAACAAACAAACAAACACACAAACAAACAAACTCATTACAAATCAGTACAGTAATTTAGAAAAAAAAGAAACACATACCTTTTGGTTGATTCCATCCTTCTCCATCCTTCTCCCATGAGCTCCTTGGCGCTGAGCTGCCCAGTGATGACCTCCGAGGCGCTATGCTCGCTGGAGGCGTTCGAGGACACGGACTCGGAGCTGGAGACCACCTGGTAGGCTGGGTGGCGGGTGGGATTTCTCAGGCATGTTTTCTATTTTTATATTACTAGAAGCGATGCACTTGTTACTACTAGCTTCTTGTTGCTACTAGTAAGGCAGGCACTTGTTACTAGAAGCGATGCATATATATTATCAATTATGATTCAGATCATAATATATAGGTGTATCTTTATGTATCAATCCCAAATCATCCATGTATGGCATCATGGGGCAATTTGTTATATATCATCCTTAAGGATCTCCAAACCACCGTAGTGTAGGCAAATATTCCAAAATATTCCAGTCCGATGGATTGGCTGGGTATGGGGCAGAAGCGCCACCCATAAACAAAGGAACACGCACAAAAAAAGAAAGAACACTCCAACTTCTGGTAGGTCGTTTCGGCTGTCTCGTGCAGCCTCGCCAGTCTGGCCATAGCTACAATCAAACCCACTAGATCCTCATGTTCCGCAGTTTGCTGGGAACCTTCTCAGCCACATCCATCTCCCCCCAAAAAGCCAGTGTATCAGTCAAGGAAAACGAAGAGCGTTCATGAAGACTCACTGGCAAGGGAAAAACACTCCATGGAACTGGCAGCGGGTGGTTGAACTGGCATCAATGTATATAATATATTCCATTCCATTCCGCACTACGCACGGGTATACCGTCACTTCAGTCATTCTTCAACCGGTCGGCATTCAAAGGTTGGGACGTAAACTTGTTTGGATGGACGTGGTGATTTGTTTGGCAGGAATGGCAACTTTTTCTCGGAACAACCGGGGAGACGGGGAAGATCCACAGGGACACAAACCTTTTCATGTGCCGCCACGGTGGGTTCCTTCACAGTCTCATCTCAGAGGTTGTTTTTGTTGGGAGGGATGATGATAGGGTGCGCGTGGAGAACCCACGCGAACCCCTATAACTCACAGAAATCAAGAACATCGACTATCGTTACGAGTACCTTTGGGGAGGTCCACCCGTGCCAGGCCCGTGCCACTGTTCATGGAAGAAGAAAGAATATGAATATATATATATATATATGAATGCATCCACTTCGATCCACATCAATCCTGTTGGTAAGTCCACATCAATCCTGTTGGCACCTCTTCCTCGCTTTCGCCGCAGGCCAGTTCCTCAGCACCACGCTCCTGAGGGCTGAAAGGGTCAGGGTGAACGAACAACGCAAAAAGGTTACAGACATGGTGCCAACATACAGTCTACTCATTGTGGATCGATGTGCAAACATATGTGAAGCATGCGAATCATCAGTTCCAAGTCCGAAAACTTAACTTGGCTCGAGCAGTTAGTGGTGAAGTCCCACACAAAAAGGTTTGAGGTAAACTTGAGTGGGGATTCCAGGCTTGTGGATCAAAAAGAGCACATCTGTTCATCCATCCTCCATCCCAAGTGTAGACCCTCTGGAAGACTCTGTTTCAGAGGCCATAGGATGATGCTGTGCTCCCAAACATCGTGGAGGCTTAGGAGCAACTTGGAGCTGAGATGAAAAAGGAGCCAGCTAGAAAGTCATGTTGATGTCTTGCAAGTGAAGCTATATAAACAGGAAACATCACATGATGGATCATTGTGTAATATTCCAGCACCAAACCAATTTATGCAGATGCAATAATATATCATGTATTGTCCATCAATAACCACAGGAATTGGGTGGTGCTGCTTGCTGGCACTACAAAAATGCTTGAAATCAGTGCGATCCATTTCCTGCGGAGCCCACCTTGTCAATCCAAGGCGGACCAAGCAGGTAGAAAAAGGTGAAATACCTCAGCGATGATCAAAAGGTAATATTCTTGACCTACGTCGGCAAGCAAGCTATATTGATCCTTTGACCCTTGCTCACCTCAATAGCAAACCAACCCACGGTAGCATCTGTGGCAGAATCATTTCGCTCCACTCTCAGGACATCGTGGCCTCTGGACATCCTTAACTCAGAAGTGAAGCGAACACCAATCTTCCAGTGAAGCCATGTCAGCTGGATCCTCCAAACCTGAAAATGCTGATTGAACGATCCGCCCTTAGCGTACAGTACATCCACCTGGAACACCAATCTCTGCTCGTTTACACACCCCAAATCCCTCCTCCTCCATGGAGCCACGTCCCCTCCCCCTCCGCACGAACACAACTCGTCCTCCCAACCATCGGACCCACGTCGGGACCCACGTTAAAACCCCCACGTCCACGTCTACGGACAGAGATTGGGCCCATGGTGCCAGGCGATGGGGATCCAAAGGGCCACCATGAGTTGCACCTGGCGCTCGGAGCCTTCGGCACCGGCCGTTCGGCGGACGACACCGCCGTGGGCTTTTGAGAAGAAGCGTCCCGGTCTGATGGCAGATGGTGTTCTTTTTGGAAGCTACAAACGTTCTTTGATGAGACCACTTGCTTTTTGGGGGAAGAGGTGTTTCTGTGTTCATGGAACTGTTGATTCTCCCAGTCCAAGTTCTTAGACTGACACCATGATAGTTGTGCTTTTCGGCTTCAGTTTTGTCGGATGCCTGGAAGCAGGTGTTCATGGCGTCGAATGCCAGGGACCTTGCAGGAAAAAGAACAAACGAGCCGCGGAAGGGCGACGTGGCAAATGATATGAATCAAAACGGTGGGATCGAATGACCAGTCTCCGTGGAATGAATGCCTTTTCCAGTGGTGAATTGAGCTGGCTAGGGATACAATCCATCAAAAACCGTTCGATGGTTGCGTGGATGGTATGACCCCGATTCCGGATGACCACTTCCCTCGATATACAAAGGGTTGCTGATGCTGGAATTCTACTGGAGATCATCAGTAGGGGGGATCCCTTCTTATTTCTTACTTTGGCACGTATTCCTTGGGCTCCTCATGGCGAAAATACCGTTCATGCTAAAGACAACCCCCTTCACTCCCCTTTCAACCTGCTCGTGGCAGATCCGATGCTCCGGTCCAAGAGCCAAGATCTAAAGGATTCGAAGCGTGCATCTCTCAGGCTGGCTACACTCCCAAACACTGGACCCTGACGACGTTTCAGCCCCCTGAGTCCGAGTGTAGGCTCCAAAAACCAACCGACGTGGTGTACTCAGGGTCCATGGGATCGTCTTCCAGGGTGAATATTCAAAATCAACTGTCAAAGCATATCAAAGCCGTCCAAATCATACAAATCATCTCAACTTCACAAAGTCCAACAATGGCTCAAAAATCCCTCTGCATCCAGCTGACCAGGCATACCCAGCAATGCCAGCGAAGCCAGTGCCCGAAGACCAGGCAGCCAAGCAGGGCTGGGCGTCGCGATGTGTCGCGATGCGTCCGAAGCATCCGCTGAAAGCGAACAGACTCCCAGGGCTCCGCTGGTAATGAAGGGTGATTAAAGAGACTCAAAACAAAGACTTCCCTCATTGAAGAGGAGCCCTAGTTTGGACTATATATTTTGGGTTGGTCTTCATATGATGTCCAATCCCCAGTGTGTTAAGTGGAAGTACGACTGAGGGACCGCGGGGGTTGATACACACTTCTGTGATTGAAACAAGTGCATCAGTTGGGGCTGCTTCGGTGGTGCGGTTTCTTGGAACTCTCAACGACTCGGATGCTACAGGTCACGATGGAGATGGATTCTTCCATAGGTCGTGGCAAGAAAGTGAATACATCTACACTCTTCACTGATGTCCCTCACTCCCCCCAATCATCCTCGAGCACTTCGACGACGCCGATCCAATCATGTGATTGGTAAAAACATACACAATCACCCATTCAATAGCCAATAACGACGGAAAGTACCGACGCCCGGTGGTTAGTTTATGGTGGTTTTAGAATGTTTTGGGTGGCTACCCGGGACCCTGCCCCTTTCAACAGCACAAGCAAAACGGCCCGGTGCGCCTTTGTTTCATAAAAGCTTGCCATGGCCTTGGGATCTTTGGAGGGAAAATCGCAAGGCCAGGCCGGCGCGAGCCATCCACTGAGATGACCACCAACCAGTCAGCGGTTTCACAAAGCAACGAATCCTGTATTCATGTCAACGAGATTTGTCCATAGTATTTCATGTAAAGCAACAGCGAGCCAGCAACCGGAAGTTTGGTCAACTCCAAATGCCTGAACACAAGCTTCCACCGACTATCTGATACCATCAACGCAGCCCCACTGATATCTCCTCACCTCAATGGCTAAGCCTTTGGTTCCCACGACCCCATCCACTCGAAAAGCTGGTGGAATTTCGAGAAGATTCTTTCTTCGCCCTGAGAACAGTCGCCCCTCCTCCAGAAAAAATGGCCATTCCGGACTCCGTCTTCTCTGCGGATGGAAGAACTGCAAGTTAGTGGACGTGTCAACCCTTTCAACAGTCTTATGGGTCACTAGGGCAGGAAATTCAGGTCAAGGAACGAAAACCGAGTTGTTGTGTTTCGCATGAATAAGAGGGTCAGAAAGCCATGTGTTTCAAGAGTCCGTTGGATTCCAAAGGAACGGGTCGACGGACCGAAGACAGGAGGAAGGCCAAGCGCCGAGGTGCCAATAAGCTGGCCTCACCAACGCCCGAGGCCAAGGAGCAGATCGCCACCTGCGGTTCCGCGGCTTCGCTTCGCGGAGCCAGGCTTTGGACTTCCAGCCGCCGCGCCGGTTCGGCTGCGAAGCTTCGGCGGTTTTGGTGCGTGTCTCTGGCACCAAAAGAACAAAGACATGGGAGATGGGATGATCTCCGATGGGAGATTGAAGTTTGGAGAGTCATTCGTGCTTTTTCATCGCGCGTTGTGGACCGTCGCAGGTGATGTTCCGGTCTTTCAAAGGTGTTTGGAATGTGATGGAATATGTTTCAATATGGCCATTCGCTAAGCATCCATTTTTGAATTTCAGGGTGGGATATTTGAACGCCCGAATCAGGCACTGTCGCATGCCACTTACTCCAAAACACAGTGACCACCCCGTGAAGCAAAGAACTGTCCAGTATAGGTTTTGGCTACTCTTTGTCCAAAGGGATTCATTTTGATCGGTGTTTGCTCATAGTACCTATTTCTGGAGGTCCAAACACCTTCAAATCAACTCATCCAGGACAACTCTATGAGTCTGTGAGTAAAACAAATCATGGATGTTCACCTGGACTCGTCTGGAGGATTCAGAGATGTCCTCATGGTCCTCACCCCCTAACTGCCTGCTAAGCTACTCCAAGGAGTTTGATGCTGGTGCTGTCGCCCCAGGCCACGATGCAAAGGCAAAAGACCATCAGAATGGCGATGAAGTTCATGCGGCACCTCTCAGTTCATGTTGACCCCTCCCTGGGACGAAGCCCTCCCTAAGGACATGGCCTTCTGGGCCTTCTATAGGTAGTTTCAACAGGGAAAATCATGAAGTATGAGAATGATTCCTGAAAGACTGAAAGACTAAAATTGAAAAGACAAATATGCCAGATTGTGTCCATTCCTTGACATCCCCACTATCCTGCGCAGTTGCAGACACCAAGCTCCACAGATCGCAAAATCCGCTCGCTGAACAGAAGTTCATGTGCTCGTCATCTCGCCTGTAACTCACGTAGTGGAACCAATAAGGCCCTGTGAGTTTCACCAAAAGCGTCCTTGCTTCGCTGGCTTCGAGACTCTCGCCATGCATCGAATCGAATCGACGGAGGACGGAGCTCTCCGTGCTCCAGCACCTGTGAACGATTGGACATCATATAGAGTCCATTTCAACTAGCACCACCGAACTAAGGATTAAAGGAGAGCCTCTTTCATAGAGCACCACTTCGGTCAGGGCCCCTTTCAAGGGCCCCCTTGAAGGTTTCTTCACAGAAAGTTGTTATAAATTATGTTTAATTCTAATTTGTCTTGGTCTTCCTGGCGATGAGAACAGACTTTACTGCAAAATGGATGGAAATAAAATTGTCTGCACTTTATCCTTCTGACGGTGTCGTCATTGAGAAGACAGTGATGGAGGAACTTCGGAGATCTTGGACTTGTTCCGTGTCCCTTCTATATTTTCCAGTTTTCCATGAACAAATTGCTCATCTCGGGTGTTTTCAGTATGTCCTACCAACGATTTACCAGGCGCATACCGAGCGCAAACACACTAGCGCATACCGACGAACTCTTCGTGGTGGTATGACTTGTTCTCATCACCGCACTGCCCTCCGACTTAGTGCTCTTGTTCGAAGCATGTCTCGGCAGGATGTTCGCGAGGTAAACCAAGGCAATCCCCGCCTGGTGTGAAATCACAGTCATGCCGCCATGCCCATGCAAAAGAGACATCGTGTTCCAAGCTTTGTTCGTTAAACAAGTTAAAAGATTGAACATCATTAACCATATATATGGTACAAAATGGAAAAATAAAACTTGGAACTATTCAAGTCCACCCGGATTCGTCCAACTGCTGGCTTGGGACCTTTTTTAACAACTCGGATCTCGGAGCGAAAACGCGCCACGGATCCAACTGAGAGGACGCAGGAAATGGCCCGCGGTGGTCGGCGGTCGTAGCTAAGAACCCGTGGCAAAAGAATTTGCGTTGACCAGAATTCACAAAGGGGTGGTGTTTAGTCACTAAGTGAGTGGATATTGTGCACCCCTAACCTTCATGAAGCACCCCTTGAAACTCTTAGGTAGAGATCTTCTATATTCACAATTAGTACGTCGCAAAAAAATCGTAAAAGACACATTGAATCCTGAAAAGGACATGTGGCACTTTTTCTGGTTTCTCCGTTTCTCCACTGTCTTTTGGTCTACTGTCTTTTCCCGGTCTAATTTAAAAGGGAAGGCAGCGGACGGTCACCGACAAGTTGGATCTGTTGGATACGTTTTTGATGAAAACAAAAACTAGATTCATCTAGATTCTAGAAATGCTAGATCAATTGACACTGCAAAGTGGGTGACTTGTGGTTTTGTTGGTGCATTCTTATGCTGCTCGTTCTTCTTGGGTTAAGACGAACGATTGAACTTCCGACTGTGACAGTGACATCCTCCTTCCATATTTTTCCCCAAAGAACCCTGGGAACCTTTCCATGGCTACTAGTAACAAGCTCGTGCCAACGACGGTCCCGACGGACCGGATGTACTCGGCTCGGTACGGCTCGGCCTCGTTGATGTTCTCAGCCCCAGCGTTCATGGTGACGTAGAGGAAGTTGTTCAAAAGCCCCAAGATCCAGAAGGCCTAGGAGTGAAACGTCCGGACCGACGTTTGGAACCTTGGAACATCGAACGGAACCCTTGAGTGGACGGAAGGCTGGATGCAGTCGTCCAAGTAGCGATCACATCGCGATAGATGCGGAAGCGATCCTTCATGGCAGCAACAGGAGAAGAAGGAGTTCTTGATTTGGCAGAGTGAACATCCAGCCTGCAAAAGAGATAGCAATTACTTGATTATAACATTCATTCAATCCTCATGCACTCACAACTTTGTCTTCCTCAAGGAACTGGTTGATTTGGGCCAACAAAGCTGCGGTGTTCAGGTGTTCATACCCATCCACATCTGCGACCCTTTTTGGCCTGGTCATGTGGCTCATCCAGAAGAAGTCCGACGTTAATAGCGTTTACTCAAGTTGAGACGAGAGGAGAAGTACAATCCAGCGGGTCTAGCTCTTGAAACGTGCTTTCGTTTGTTCTTTGTTTGATGACTGTGCACCACGTGACAGAGTTAGGACCCCTCCATGTGTCCCCTGGATTCTTACACAAGCATGAGCTCTCTGAGAGTTCCTGCTCATCCAACCGATTTGTGGTCTGACAGGTCACTGTGGTTGTCTGCACAACTTGGAGGGGATATTCTACTCTTGTACCAAGAAGGGCCTCAGAATTTGCATGATTTGTACAACAAACAAACAACTCTTGCACCATGCCTTTTACACCATTTTGAAACAGCAATCTTATCAAGATTCAAGGTTTCTTTCCGTGTTGGAGTCAATATGAACATACAAATAGTTTTACTTGATGAATAATAGACAATAGAGAAGTCCTCAAATGGATAAGAACGGCGTCCAATTCAAAATCGTTGTTGGAGGAGATGCACGTGTATGCACAACGAGTATCCAAAACACTTGTCACTGCTCGTCTTTCATTCACCATTTTGGCGCTCTCTTGCGGTCCGGATCCCTCACTTGCTCTGAAGCACGTGGCGTGTAGCTTCTCCGGACGACTCAGTCGAGCGAAGCTCACTCGCGATTGCAGGTGCGGGTTCGCGCCACGGCTGCTGGGCACCTCAGTTCGGGCGCGAAGACACGACGTGAAGGACCCGAGTGGCTGGATCCAGTCTGGAATCTCGTTTTTGGGGTGAGTTCCTGCCCTCATTCCCAAATCGTGATACCAGTCTGGAATGGGTTCCTCATGTCTACTCTGGAGTGTCACGAGCAGAAAGTGATTTGTTTGTTAGGGTCAGTTTAGTAAAGGATGCTGCTATCATGGAAAACACATGAAAACTCTATCCCATTGGCTTTCAACAGACTGCGTCCATGATACATAACTAGCTTCGGGCTTCGGCCTACTCACGAATGAAGAGAGGCCCAGAACCATGACTGAGACAAGAAATAAAACCTGATAACACGTATTCAATGTATGATAATGCTGTATATGTATATAGAAGATTATAGAAGAAACCGACATCATTTGGGGAAGAAGAGCTGTACCTGGACCTGAATCGAGCTTTTTCCTGAATCTACTTGTTCATCTTGTTCTTTGTGAGTTGCTTGTGACAGGCCAGCTTTTTGGAACGGAACATCTTCCACCTGCCCGGGGAAAAACGCACGTGACCGGTCACCAGCGTGGACCGGTTTAAGATCACACAGACGTGCATGACATGTGCAAAGAGAGTGATCCAAATACATCACATAAGGCAAACATTTGTTGTTTGTCACATCTGTGGCCCAGCAACAGATTCAAACAGTCAACCAGCAGCAACAGCTCCTTTGGGACCGGAGGATAGCCGTGCCTGCGTTCCACTCACGGAGGGACCGAGCCACACCCCTAACAGGCACTGGAACGTGCCTTCGTTCCGAGTAGTGCCAAGGACCGAAGGTCCGAGTAGAGCGAAGTATTTCGCACACGTACTGCGACGAGCGTTCGCCTGTCCAAACGACTCCTAAGCTGATGGAAGGGAGTCTACCATGACCATAGAGCAAACGGTCTTTCTGCTTTATGGTTGGTCATTTATGGTTGATCATTTGTGGTTGGTCTTTCTACTGCCATATTTTGCCAAAGGACCAACCAGCAATTGCTGCCCTTATGAGCCCTGACCGTGACTGTTCATCGAAGTACTGGGGAAAATCACATGCTTCCAAACACATGATACACATCTCACTTTTGTGAAGAACACATTCAGTTGCCTGTGGCTTGAATTGGCTTCTCTTGTGGTATCCAGGGCACTTGTCAACCTTGTACTCCAGGGAAGCAGTGCGTGGCATAGACTGGTGGATGGCTGGTGCCTGAGCGGACGGTGGTTCAGGCACAACAAGCAACATCTCGAAAACAAATAGCCCTACAAGTCATACAAAACCAATACTTAAGGAGGTACAAGACCAGGTTTTACTGCGTCTTTAGACTTGTAACTATGGTAGGAATGCATTCCATCATACCCAGACACGACCCATGGGACTGCCATAGGACTGCCAATCAGGCCAGGGATGGTTGACTGGGGGTCTGTCTGGGGCGGCAGTCCGTCCTGGCAGTCCCTTTAGTCGTGTCTGGGATGCAGACCGATGGCCAAAACGTTCAGGCAGGATGGGCCGAAACGTCGAGGTTTTGTCGAAGGTCGAGGTTTTCGTCTCAACCCATCGCAGCTATAGGGATCTCGTATATATATATATATATACCCGTTGTTTAAACCCGCTCTTACTTATAAAAATAAGTCGTCGCGTACGCAGAAGCAAGGAGGGGCGGTATACCTAGAACCTACATGTCGCGAAACAAGAAAAAGTGACAAATGTTGTTTGATGAACGAAGAGGTAACAAAGATAGAAGAAGGGAACATTCCTTGGGAAAAAAACAGCAGTCAAAGTGAAATTTGGAAGACCGCTAAAAACATGTTGCGGTCGATCACTGCCATGTTTCCACCTCATGCTTTCTTTTGCAAATGTTTCTTGACTCTCACCTTGAAATCCTCAAAATTATTCCAATGAAGTCTTCATTAACTTCACAATTGAAGGTATATGAGGATAAACTGATCTCCCTGGCTTACATGTTGTTCGCTACAATTCCGGGAATTTCTGCTATGCTGCTATACATTTGTTTCCCGCGAACTGTGATCAAAGTTGCAATCCCGCACTGTCCGGATCAAGCATTCAATTAAGCTTGAGTCTTTATGTTATTTTTCTGGCAGCTGAATTAGCTTGCCACGCCTCAAGTAGAACATGCACTCTTGCAAGTGTGCATCGGGCCAGGCATCTTCACCAGTCTTCCAAGCATTATGAGCCCCAAGCGGCTACATGAGTATACTCGTGACATGATGCGCTTCGAAAAGAAGGAGGGACCCCGCAAACACTCAAAATTCCAACAAAAGTAACCTGCGCCCCAGAAAAACAATAAAGTGGAAACACCTGTGTTTTTCACTTGTTTCTTTTTTGTGGTACTTCCGAAGTGCGAGGTAGCCACTACTACCTACTGGACGCAAGATAGCTCACGCATGCTCACGCTATTCATGTGGTTCCTAATTAATTTCTTAAACAAAAAGACTGGGACCTTTGTCCGCGTGCCACCGGTCGATGTTTTGGTCGTCCGTGTTGCGGAGCCGTTTTTCACGCCCCGTTTCTATCGCTGATTTTTTTGTTGAGACACTGGTGGACCAAAAAGAAGGGCATTCCTCCACTCGTTGGAGCTGCAAGCCGTGCCATGCATGGCCCATCGCCTATCTTCACATCCCTCACAGTCTGTCCCACCGGAGTTCCCCGACTCGCTCACCTTCCGAACCCATGCCCAATGCCACATGGATCCCAGCGGAGGCATGAGAATCAACAACCAACTCGGGATGAACGAATCTCAACCTGTTGATGCTTCTAGTGTTCAAAAAGGATTCCCCAAACGAATGCTGATCAAAACCACTGAGAGCATCTGGCACCCCCCCCGGGACGCATCCCTTCGCATCACGAAACAAACCGAGGTGCGGTTGAAGTTATCCCAAATGTCAAAGCCACAGGTGAAGTCCGGCTTAGTGTCCAGCACCTCAGAGCTGCGGTGCTGGACGTCCGCCGTCAGAGATCTCACGGCCTTCGGTCGTACGACCCCAGCCAGCCACTTGCGGTATGGGGAGAAAAGGTATGCGGTATGGGCCTTTGGACTTTCGGTGTTTGTGAATGAACAAATAGGTCCTCGATGGTCCTCTGCTGGCTCTTAGGGCCCCAATGGTTTGTCTCTCATTTCCACTCAACTCTCATGTCAAGCAACACGGTGTCCAAGCTCGGCCAGTGCTTCGGGAAAAAGCGAGCTTCTGCCACTGGCGTTCCTTGCCACGTTCTAAAGAAGTTCAAAAGAAGAGCAGTTTTCACCGTGTGCCTCATTAACAGAGTGGATGGCAAGGTACCTTGGAAGACTACTTACTTTCCTCTACAAACAGGTGCTTTCCTCTACACTTCTTCACTCCACTTCCATGTGTCGTTTCTTGCTGGAGTGCACCCCCCCCCATCTGGCCCTGGCGCCCGTCCCACCGGTCCGCCGTCCGAGGACAAGTCGCCCGCATCATCCCGAAGATGCATCCTGGCCGATGAAATGACAGTGTCTCAGGTGCACCCAATGTATATCATGTATATCCCAAACACGACTAATGGGACTGCCATAGGACTGCCGCCACATTGGGGTGGTTGTGGGGGTCAATGGGGCGGCAGTCCTATGGCAGTCCCATTAGTCGTGTTTGGCATATCATTGGGCACTTTAAAGCTGAGAAGATCGCCTGAGATCTACAAACCGCATGGGCACACCGATCCGAGTCCACTGTTTTCTCCACAACCCATGCCGTCGACTTATAGGAAGAAGCTGTGGATCCCGGTGCAACATGCCCCATTCTGGAACTTTGCTCCAACCTTCAAAGAACACCAGCACCAAGGCACACCCATCGAAACCCAAGAAACTCACTCCTGAGATGTCCTGCCTTAGTGGCACATCACATGATGCATCATGATACCATACCCAGCCACCTAGCTAAAAAGGGCCGCAGCCCCTCTGCCTCTGATGGAACACTCGCCCGTCGCGTTGCCGGTCCTTGCGCAATGAGCCCCAAGATGTTGGCGAAGATCATGCCGATGGTGTCGGCCACGGAGGCGGAACACAAGGCTAACTCTACATAGGCGGAGTTCTGCTCCTCGCTGGTTCACGTGGCGTGGCGAACGGTGAAGCGAACCAAAGGCAACTTTGTGTTATAGGGTGCAAGGCTAGCAAATCAGTAGAAGCATCTAGGACTAGCAGTCCGAGGGTTTCTGTATATAATTGTGGGTGCATTCTGTTTGCTTCCCGTGCGCTCTTCCCTCAAACAAAGCAGTTCGCTAACAAGCTGTCCGTTCTGGAGCGAACCTGGGTGAATGATCCACGCTGAGTGATCCCAGCCACACCCCGTTTGGTGTGGACATGTGACGCTTTCAGGATCCGAGCGACGCTTTGGGGGGGTTTCTTCTGCAGGGTGTTCGTCGCTCGTCGTTTTCTTCGTCGTCGTTTGTGTCTCCCCGCGGTGAGTCATGTGAGTCGAATCCCAAAGAAATGCGTATCGCAACAGCGTCACCCTCATGTAAACCGCTTCTCCAAACATCCTCCGTCCAGACCGGACCAGTGTATAAAAACCTTCTGCCGAAAACGAGGTTAGGTTGAAAGTCGTCGCTTCCTCATACCCTCCACCGACTCCCGCACCTTGGCGATGAGAGAGAAGGCTCCCACCTCGGGGAGGGGGCGAGGGCTCCGTGCTTCGAACCAACTTTTTGAGACGCTGCTGGGCACAACTTGAACGATTTAGGCGGCGTGTTTCAGATGTGGACTTTGGCGGCTTCGTCCTAAAGTGTGCATGGCTCTCCAAGAATACCATGTATAGTCAATGGCAAAAAAGCCTGATCAACCGAATGGTTGAACTCTTCTCCACAACGGACGTCTCTTTGTCAAAAGTGGCAGTCCAAAAGCTTGTAGACCTTCTGAGGGGCATGCTTATCTAATCCAGCGTGCCTAGCTGTGCTTCACTTAATCCTCATTGCAGCACTTCTGAGAGAGATCCATTGAACCTCCATTTTCGCACAAAATCTTTCAGATATATGTGTGAGTTCTCATGTATGTTTTCAAAATCCCATTTCATCCGAAGGTAGTATATTCAAATCCAAAAGGACCCCTGTTGGATCTCTTACTTGGAAGGTCCAAGGCACACAGCAAGACCGGCAGGGTCGCTACAAGAGAGTTTCTCCAGCATCCAAAAGTTCGTTCACAGCCACTTGACTCATCAGCACCTTACCTGGTACCTCTCACCACCTCTCCCCAATTCTTCTGAAGGGAAAGGCACATAGACTCCGCCGCCCAGGAAGCCCACGAAGAGCGAGGGTGCCAGTAACCACCAGCCACCGAAGGGATGCCTCGGTGTGTCACGTCACGTGCCGCCGCATATCGTGCGCGCATCACGTCCTTGACGGTCGACGAGAGGCGGGGTCGGGAGCCGAGCAACACCGCGGCGAAGGTGAAGAAGATTGCCATCAAGATCTGCAAAAGGCCACCGGACCTGGGCGGCAGAAGGCCGGCAGTGGGCTGGGGAATCTGGCGCCTCATTGTTGTTTGGTTCCAAAGGCCTCCACAGGAAGGAAATGGGGCTCCACACATATTGGAGATTGACCTTTAGAACATGAATATCGTTTAAGACAGGTTTTAGGAGCCTATTGTAGATAAATATATAAATAGAATTTTATAGACTATCGAATAATAGGTACCAGGTATAGCATGGCATGGTATGGCACAATCCGCGTCTTTGGCAAACAAACCTGTCCAACACACCAAGCGGCCACAGGACCGACCGACTCCGGCAAATGAGGATGAAGAAGGTCCTGGTGCCGGTGCATTGGATCATTGGATCCATTTCAGGCCTTGTATGTACCAGTGTTCCACATCCTCAGGCTTGTGGAAAACCGCCCTAAGGAAGAGAGCCAGCACTTGGATGGTCTGGCAATGAACATGTCATGTTCTTTTCCATGGCTAGGAGAGATCTTGCAAAAGAATCCAAGGATTGTTGTTTGCCTCATCAAGTGACCCTAATGACTAATGACCAAAAATACTCTGTTTCCTATACAAAGGTTCACCGACCCTTCCACCAGTTCATGGTCTGAAACAAATGATTGATCTGGTCAAGCTGATGGCGAGCTGCAGGTGGCATGCAAAGAGTCTATCCACGCCTGGAGATGAAAACGCCAACTTGATAGGTGAAGTTGGACCACTTGTACCTTGGCTCATCAGTGGTCCCCAAATAAATAGAAACGGTGATTTACTTTTCTATCTATTTGGAGGTCTATATCATGAAGATGGATCAAAACAAACATGGTGCCAGAAATACCCATAACCGCCTTAGAATCATAGTTATCGGAGCCTGGTACGTTGGTGTGAGCCTGGTACGTGGCCCTTGGATCCAAACGGAATTTATCTCTTTTGCCCCCAGGACGGAGAGACTGCCCAGGCGACTGCATGTGTAGCTCACGACAAAAAGGTGGGCAACTTGGACCCCCCTATCCAGACTGTCTTCAAGCATCAAATTTGAGACTCCACCTGATCTGAATCCTAGCTATACATCCCATGTGATGCTTTCTGGATCTTCCAACGTTCGAAAGAAGAGCACCCATTGGACCCATCCCCATGTGTAGGTGGCGTGGGTGGCCAGCCAGCATTCCATGGCGCCTCTCTCTTTTTGTTGGTCGACATGTTCTTATTTGACCGTCACTAGCTCTTTCCGATCCAACTGACGTTTCTCATCTTTTCTCACCTCATCAAACATCAATTCTTCACCACATGCCCCACATGCTCACCTCATCCGCCCCGTGGGTCCGGTTTCGTACGTTCCAGGAATGGACCAACCCAGTGGTTCTGGAAAGTCCATGTGGGGTCCCGTGCAAAAAGGAGAGTGTGTGTGTGCTTTCTTTCAAGTTGACCTTCCCACCTCTCTTACAGATTCGGCTCACGAGCCGCTCACCTGAAGGAAGGGCACCTAACACCTCAAAACCCCATCCCACCTGACTTCGTCTCCAAGTTGTGGCTCCACCGAGCTTCTCGTTCTCCCCGCTGACTCCCCCCCGCTGACCCGGTTCTCCCCCGCGAACCGCTCCAGGTCGCCAGCTGCGGCGGCTCACGGGGTCCGTGACTGGAAAGCCCATCGCCGCCCAGAGACCGCTTTGGATCCTCGGTGGTGGAGGACCCAATCCGACGGTCGGCTTGGCGACGAGGCCAAGGAGGAAGAGAGGGGAGAAAACAGAGTCGAAGGACGGGACGGGAAGAGGAAATGAGCATAGTGGCCTGGGAAAGCTAAGTCGAACAGCAACGGGACTTTGATCCCGAGTGTAAGTATTCAACTATCCAAAGAATGTAATATTTAACATATAGCCGCACGAGGCGGTGACGGAAGTTTCGAAAATATAACATCTATAGGAGTTGAGTGAGAAACGGCGCCGCCAGGGGTGTCCCGACTGGAAAAGTGTTTGATGATGATGATGATGACGATGATGATGAATCTGTATCTTCAAGATTATTCAATACTGCGCCCGTGCCTCAACATACATGCTAAAACTCACTTTCACTTTGCAACCTTCACCTCCAAGATCACCAAATGCTACGACTGTCACGAAAAATGATTGCTAGCGCTGAGCAACCTTCACTTTGTATTGCGCCTGCCACGAATCTTTCCCTCGAAGGTCAGCAAATGCTGCGCCTGTCACGAAAAATGACCGCTAACACGCCGGCCACGAAAGTTGTACCTCAAAGCTCACGAAATGCTGCGCCTGCCACGAAAAATGAACACGACCGTTTCAGTCAGAATTCCAAGGCACAGCCAAATTAAGCATGCCCACGTCCTGCACCTGCCACGAAAATGTGACTTCGATGTTACATTACTGTCTCTACCCCAGAACCAGCAACAATGCCAAGCTGCATGCACACAGACCTGCTTTCCCCTGGTCAAGGAAACCCTGCACACACCATGGGCAATGACCAACCGCTAAGCCAATCCTCTACATGGTCATGGTCCGATCCAAAATCGTCCTGCACCTGCACACTGCGCCCAAGTACCTGGTCGCCCAGTGCATTAACACCGCACTATGCCTCGCTTGAAAAGTTCTTTGCCCTGGAGCCAGATGAACGTCAGCAGACCAAGTTAGGTTACACAAGCAGCAACGGCCCCAACAAAGGCTGGCCGAACACTCCGCGGAGTTAAATAAATCTTTCCTTGGACTGTTCATTGGTTGTTTTCTTTTAACTTTTAACTGTGCCCCTTTCTGTTTTATGACACTTCTCAGCAACCATTTTTCTTCACCGGATCGCTGTTGACACAAGCACGCGCAGTGGCTGAAAGTCCCAACGTCACGCTCTCACCCTGAAGTTTCTGTCACTCGACCAACAGCAGCAGGCTGCGCGCCCTCTGGCTGCACCTCTACTGCTGGACCTTTACGTTTTCTGCGCTGATTGCAACTTTGCCAATGCACTAAGATAGGATAACGCCAGTCGCAATCACTGGGGCGAAATAACAAATCTCTCGGCTGAACTCCAACCGTGGATTTGCTCTGGCGTGCCACCAAAGCAGCCCGCGCAGGCAAAAGAGACACCAGGTGCGCGCAATCGCCCGGCGGTGGATTGTGATAGTGCGGGGCCAACGGTGCCTGCGTCCTGCGAAGAACCTGCTCCAGCACCTCGCACATAATTGGGAATCCCTGATTAAAATCTCCTCCCACAAAGGTCACTCCCAATTCGAGGATCATTTGCCAAAAGCTTTCTGCAATTAGCTCCATAGCGCCTCGCTTTTTTGCAAGGTCATTATGTATGTGAATGCTACACACACGCCAAAAAGGACTTCCAGCTCGTTCCACAGCTTGTCCTTGCGCATCCTCCCAAGACACCACCGCCACCAGAAAATGCAGCCTCTCCGCTTCAACTTTCCATTCGTTCGTGACCTCTTTGTTCACAAAGTTCCCATCTTTGATCACTTCTATTTGCTGTCTGCCCGTGCCACCCATTGCAATCAAAAGGTTTCCGCCGCACCCAGTCACAAATGAATACCCGAAGGTGCGCAATGTCCGCTTGAAGTCCAGGCTATATGCCTCTTGAAGTAATAACAAGTGAAATTTTCCTGCCAAATATGACTGCACTCTTGTCTCCTCCTGTATCCCTGCAGCGTTGACTCCAAGCCGCTCCAGACATCCAAAATTGGCGGTCAACAAGCTCAGCTGCCGGCTCGAGCGAGCATCATCTCCATGGCGTTCGATGGCCCGATGTTCGACATGAAGGTTCGCAATCCTGACACAAAGGTTGAACTTCTACACTCACCAGAAAAATTTAACTACCTAGATCAGAATAGGATTAGATCAGAGCAGGGTCGCATGAAATTTTACAGAAGGGGTGGCCATGGGGCCTGGGTTTTGGTTTTCCATACATTTTCATAAATATTAGGTAAATGCATCAGTGCCACAATCAAAACCAAAAAACACTGATAAATATGCATAAAGGATAAAAAACACATAAGAAAAAACAAAAAGAACTAAAAACCATGGGAAAACAAACAAACTAAAAAAACAATTCTGGGAGACTCTTGGCTGGACCCCCCAAAATCAGAAAAAACAAAAAACCAAAAAAACCTTGGGAAAACCAAAAAAACAAAAAAAACAATTCTCAGAGACTCTTGGCTGGACCCCCTTTTCCTCAAGACTTCCCCAGAATTGGTTTTTTGGTTTTCCCAAGGTTTTTTGGTTTTCTGATTCTTCTGATTTTGGGGGGTCCAAGCAAGAGTCTCTCAGAATTGTTTTTGTGATTTTTGTGTTTTCTCAAGGTTTTTTGGTTTAGCATCTGAACTTACTTCTCACCTCAAGGCATCTGTTCTTTTTGCTTACGTCTGAAACCGTCTGAGCTCAACACTTCCTTCGTCCTTGTCCAAATCTCCATATACAAGTCTGAGTGCATTAACTGCTGACTGGTATCAATGCGGTTGCCACTGGCATTTCCAAACAGCTTGACATGCAGTTGCGAGGACACTCTGTCCTTTACATGAAACGGTTGGAAATCTTTGCGAGCGTAATTCTGTGCTTATAGCTCAAGCGTTTACATCTTATTCTGGCGAACTTCTAATTTTAATTCTAATTCCTTTCTAATTCAACTCTCATCTAATTTCAATTAGGCTATAGTTATAGTTCAATACAAGTTTATTAAAATTCGGTTTTACTTCAGTTTTATCTTAGCTCTAACTCAAATCCAATTTAATTCTACCTAATTCTATTCTAGCTCTAGTCTATTTAGTTTAAGAAAACACATGCTACAAAACCCCGTGTTTTACAGTATTTTTTGCTCTGGAAGTGCTGGGAACAAGACTAAAACTCTTTTTTGAAGTAAATAGTTAGATTATTTATTGTCAGTAATCACTGGAGATAATATATACCTTTTAAACATGTTTTATGTACAAGCTTCTAATTCAAGAGCTTCCCTCTAGATCTCTGGGGATGATCAATTCTACAATAAAACTATATATAAGCTTTCCTTTCAAAAGCTTTCCTCTGGATCTCTGGAAATGGTCATGTCAATTGAAACATGCTATATATCAACAAATAAGTCTTTCTTTCAAGAGCTTTCCTTTCATGAAAACACATATAGGGATATCTACTTTCCCAGAGATCCTGAGGAAAGCTTTGAAAATGCCAGCTCTTGCCCGCAGAAATCTAGAAGAAAGCCTTTAACATACAAGGTTTCTATATGGTTGTTTAAATCTAAACATGATTATCTGCAGAGATCTATAAAGAATCTTTTATAACATAAAAGAGTCTATACACAATCTTTCCAAATCTAAACATAATTATAAGCAGAGATCTAGAGGACAATTGTTAAAATAACCACTTTTATGGCCTGCTTCTTTTCTAATTACCTTGTTCCAAACCATCTGAATGACTGATTGCTGCTTCCAAACCATAATATATTTGTTCATATAGAGTGAGAGCAAGAATAGATATGTGTGTTTATATGGAGAGGGGCTGCCACTAAAGCATGTACCTAAAATTTTAGGGAAAACCAAAGCCCAGGCCCCATGACCACCCGCTCTCAAATTTTATGTATTTTTATTTTTTTGCATTTTTCACATGTTTTGATCAATTTTCCACATGTTTAATCTATTTTCACCTTTTAAACCATTTTCCACATTTTTTCACATCTTTTCATTTATTCTATTTTTAAAACAAAATATTACTATTTTTTGGGAAAACACCTCAAACACAACATGGTTAATCAAATTGTGTTTCTTGGGGAGAAGTTATCCTAACAGCTGAACACAACTGACTGCAGCAGTCATATCACGCTCCAGTTTGCATGTGAAATTATTTTTTTGCATCTTTTTGCATGTTTTCTCATGTTTCGAGATTTTGCGAAATATTTCGAGATTTTTTGAGTTGTTAAAATGATTTTTCCTTTTATCCCCTCGAGATTTTTATGTTTCGAGATGTTTCGAGATTTTTCGAGATTTTTTGAGATTTTTTGAGTTGATTGTTGCTAAGATTTTCATTTAAAACATTCTTTTGCATTTTTCTGCACTTTAAAGCTCTTATCGAGACTTTAAAACTCTTTTGAAAGTCTTCCATTCCAAGACCTCTCCGGTGAAGGTCATTGATTTTTTTGTGATACACTCTTCTCACACATAATCAGTGTTTCCGTTTCTTCCCTATTTCTCTTCGTTGTGCTCTGGGAATGCCGATTGCAAACTGGTGTCGGACGCTATGCCTTCTGGGGTTTGGTGAAGTTTATATTTCCGGAATACAATCCAGCACTCATATTCCATGCTATGTACAGCATCTGCGATCTCCTACACTCTCATTCCCTTCCAATTTGCAGGATTTGATACGTTTACTTATGTGTTTACCTTCGTGGTTCTCTGCTCGCTGGCCTTCCCACAATTCGCAGCCACCTATCATACGCAACACACTGACCTGTCCACATCCGGGCGCGCCTCCAACTGGCTGCTTCCAAATGCACCCCCTCCCCTGCTGCTTGAGCCCGAGGGCATCGCCGGTGTGCGAAGCCTATCAATATTTGAGGTAATTTGTTGGTGGTCCAAAACAATTGGAGGTCACTCAGGCTCTATAATATATATATATACCGACATTGAACATATACCAGTACATGCACCCTTTTCAACCACCCCAAGTTGGTCGGCGTCAGCTCTATATAAACCCAAACACGACCAGTGCGACTAGAAGACCTGCCGCCCCGTTGACCCAGGTCACCACCCCAAGGTATTTTCAATACGGCGTATTCAATTCAATACGGCATACATGGAGTGTCTGTGTCAGTGAGGGGGGAAGCAATGGGGGTGAGATGCCAGCACCGTGAAATCCTAAATAGTTGCATTGTTTAAATATTTACAATATATGTTTTGGGTCTATCCTATTGCCTGTAACCGTGGATGATGATGGTTAGTAAAGGCCTTGGCCAAAAATGATGATAATTGTTTACTGACTGTTTCAGGTAATAGGACATATATGGTTTAATCTTTCATGAGCATGTCTTCTATCAACTGATGCTTCCGGAGAATGCACCATGTCTTCCACTCCTGCGTGCCCTGAGACCAGGTAGAGCACGTGCGCACTCCCACGACCCTAAGCCCTGTGTTGTTTCGTAGCAAGCGTAGAGAGTGGTCTCGAGGCCCACATCCAAGACAACCCCACCTTTCATGCGTCGCAAGGATGTAGAACTCCCAACCACCCCAGCACTTCAATTGGAATTTGAACCTTTCCAAGTCATCCACGCCCAACCCACCTGTCGTGCCACTGCATCGGCTGCTGCAGTGCCGAGAGGCGCATACTCGGAGACGTAGACAAAGAGCAGCGGTACAGTGTAAGGCCAAAGGCCCAGGATGAAGAAGAAACGTTCCTCCAACACCAGAAACACTGACAAATGCTGTTGACTTCAGAACGACTCCGTCTATGCAAACCTTCACAGGAAACATGGATTTTATCGACCCGCAAACACAATGTTGTCTATAGGTCTTCCTGTAGCATTGGTGTTTCCTAGGAAGACATGTCTATTGCAATTGCACTAGCAGCACTCGCAACACTTGGGATGACACTCCCCAAAAGGTCGACCGTCACCGGTTATATCCTGGACTTGTTACCTATTTGTGGAGGGATTTCTTCGACTAAGATCCAATCATATTGCAGCTGGGGCTGAAACTTGGCCAACTTCAAAATGAGGCAAATCGGATCAAACATAATCAAACATATATAGGATCCAGAATCACTGAAGCACTCACTTCTATTCTGCCCTTCAGTTCTTCCCAGACTGAGCACACGAGGTAGCGCCTCGCAGACTGAACACACAGTCTTCATGACACTGGAACAGTTGGGTTTGGCACCCCGACAGTGAAGTTTGTAGCTTGTCTATTTCTACAAAGCCGCGGTTTGCAAAGCTCAAGTGGGTGGATGCTGCCGAGTCTGCTGAGTAGCCTAGTCAATCAACCTGCAAAACGAACCATCAAAGGCTCATGCGATGAAGCGCTTGGAAAAACTAGAAAATGTCCTGTGGTGGACTAGCAACCAGGCTCCTTTTGGGCCGACCACAAATCTCCGTGCAACGTGGTTGGGGACACAAACGGTGCGGGTACTCAGAGTACTGATTGAATAGTGAATTGTAGTCAATCGGCCTGTCCTAAAACCCAGTTGTTGCTGCGAGCCAGCTTCAGATCCAACCAATGGTTCCACACAAACCCAAAGGCTGCAAGCGTGCCACTTTTGCTACCCTGAAGATGTTGGTGTCGACAAACAAAACACACCCTTCAGGGTTATAGTAGAACATAGTAGAACTATAGAATCCCTGGGATTTTTGCAGCACCATTGATTTACAGTAATGGTTTTAATACCAAACAACCATTGTTTTCCTCAGGATGTTTGACTGCAACACCAGGTCAACCTTTCTTTAATTGGCCTTTGAAGGCAAGGGGAATCACAGGCATCCTTGCCTCAAAGAAATGACTCGAATCCTCGATGGAGAAAAATCCCTTCACCTGCACATGGAACATCCTTGAACCACTACAACACCACAAGGACATGCGTGGTGTCCTTGACCTATCTTCCAGGCTTCCCATGGCTCCCTGGGTCTTTCTTCATCAAAGCCCGTCCACACACCTTCACGGTGAGCTTTGAAGTGGCCACTTCTGAGGCGCTATGGCAGGTGGTGTCCTGATGGCCGCACGGAACGGAATGGCCGCCGCTCGTGCTCACGGATCGGGCTTGAGCCCTGGTCCTAGCTGGATCGATGCATGCTAGCTGGATCGACCTCCTCTTGTTTTGTATCTTACGAAGGTCTTTCTCTTGGTGAAGTCGCTTTGGAGACTTGCCATTCCACCGATCCCCCGATTCCTTCCTTGGCAGGATGTATGTTTCCATTTTTTTCCTCATCATGAGTGCCACATTCTAGAACTAGTGTGCCATTCAGTAAAAGGTTTGGCGTCCTTCGCTTGGCGACATGGAGGTGATGCTATGGACGTTTCTTGTCCACCATTGGAGGCCACCGTGGTTGGCTCAGTCGGCAAGCGGCGACCGTGGATCCGCTGATCTGATCTGTGAAAATCAACCATCACACAATGGTGATGGTCTTTGTCTTTGCTCTTTCTAGTATAATTTATACAATTCTATATAGTCGATCATTTATTTATATAGATCAAGGTATATCAATGTGCTTTCTTCGTACACATGTGTTTGCTTTCAGGCCCTTAAATCACTGACCATCACTGACCATCACTGACCATTATGACGTTGCGTCTTCTTCCCCCGTCTGCCCGGCCACATCTTCTCCAAGCGTCCGAGTCGTTGGAACTCTCCGAGGTCTCGTGGGAGAGATCCTGGCCGTCGAGGGCGCACGACCGTTGCCACCAGGGGCGAAGGTCCAGTGAGTCGGCTTTGACGAAGGCAGGGGGTGAAGGCCCATGTGTTTCTCTAAGTCTCGTGGGCGCATCGCGTGGCGGATTGTTTGGTTTAGGATGTGTGTGGTTTTATTGGTGGTTGGATCGACTGAACGTGGGTGTTTTGGTGGTTGGATCGACGGATCATGTCACACTCAGGCAGTTGGACTGATCTGGAGCCCTGAGTCTTTTTTGGCAATGCAGCAGTGGTAGTGCTTGTAGGTCACCACTGAGTCTCAAAGGATGCAAACGTAGACATGGAGGGTTCCTCCATTTCGGTGGGTGTTCTTGAAATTGGGCGAACAAGAAGTGCACACCCAGAAGATGTTCAGGATCTTCCACATGCAATGCACAACCTCGACTTCATCGCTTCCAGAGCGGTTCAGCGACTCCCTCCGGAGCGAGTCCGGCTGTCGAGTTACAGCAACTCGTTCGATGAGTCGATCGGCCCTGGACGTCACGGCCCTGGAGAGACATGTGATTTGTCTCTCAAAAGCCCTCTGAGGTCTCTGTTGAGATTTATATATAACTGATAGAAAACAAAAAACAACTAGCCAGTCTCATGGTTCATGTACATCTACTGCATGTGGAATCCCGTGCAAGACGATAGTGATCAACAAATAGAGAGACTGTCCCAAACCAGGTGTCAGGATGTGTTTCATAGACCAATTCATCCAAGTACTGGGGCGGAGCCGATAGAAGTGTCCCCCCATGTTCCAAAAACACCCACCCAATATAATGTAGACTCTTGATTAACAAACCCGCCCTTTGAAGAGGATGTTCAATTCAAAAGGGGGGGGTGTATGGTCCTCAAGAGTCTACATTACCCTTCGGAGAGAAAGACCCTTCGAATCTTTGCAGAAGATGCGCAGCGCTCCTCGATCTCCTCTTCTGTCACGTGATCCAGAGTCACCCGTTCCTCCCCGCGGAGAAAGGTCGCATGACACGAAAGCGCTGGGCCGGGCCGTTTTCTTTCTTAATTAGGTCCCACCGAGTCTACTGGAAGCATAAGTCGTAAGCCTTTGGCAGGGCAGGTTCCTAAACAGGGGGAGCACCCCAATGCGAATCGCCACCTGTGCGGGTCATATAGAACAGTGCAGACTTTCATATATTGAAGAAGTGCCACAAAAATGGTAAGAAGTGTTACAACGTTTTTTCAGCTCTTTGTCCTTGGAAAACACGGTGAGACCGAAGATTCACACCCGTTTCGACGGATCCGTTCTCTCCCCTCCTTGTCGATCCAGGGGACACCCAACAAGCCTCGAGGTCGGGTGTGCGGTCCAACGGTGCCACTTGGTCGGTTGCGACTCCAGAAAGCAAGTTCTGGAAGTAAGTGGTTCAAACTATAGAAAGTGAGTTCCTTCCGACAGATCTGACAGTTGTCAACAAATGTCTCGGCTTGGCAGGTCACCAAACCTGAAAGGGTTCCAATGATCTGCCCTCCAAGTAAGTAAGCAAACATCAGCAAACCGGAGGCTCCGCATGCAGCATGCACTCAGGAAAACGTATGACTGTGGGATGACTGTGTCGTATGACGAAGTTCCAAGTGACCACATCCTGAGGAAAAAAGAATACACTTTACCTCTTCGCATCTCAATGTGAGTTCAATCAAGGCACCATAGAAGGTCAGGAGCCATGCAACTGGAATCCATAAAGCAACCATGAGCTGAACCTGCTGCAACAACCAAAGAGCACAGGAGCTGAGGCAGCACACATACTGTCACATACTAGTCACAGGCTGTTTCAATCATCATTGTCATGTGGAAGGACGGAAAATCAAATGTCCAACACAACTGGAAACATATAATGATAAAAGTGTCAATTTGTGTGAAAAGCGTTGTTGGTTTAGTCACTGACGGCAAAAGCACGTTGTAAACGTTGCAAAGAATCCTTCAAGCATCGTGGTAGAAAACTCAGAGTTTAAGATGGTCCAAGGTCATGTCTCGCATTTTTGGTGGACCCGTTGACATACACAAAACATTGCGTGACACAGTGCACCAAAACAACTGGCGCCATGCCATGCTATCCAGTGGGGTTAGACACTCTATCCTAGATACTCCCTATGTTGTTCTCAGTGATCCCGCCTGGAAGCAGGTATCGATGGCGTCAAATGCTAATGACCAGATATATCCTCGTTGAGGAAAAGCCGGTTGGGTGAAAATAGGGGCAAGCCGGCAAGTGAATAGCGTTTAGCTTCAAACGTGATCCGAAATACACAAGAGTTTCGAACTCACAACGGGCAAACAAATACTCCAACTGATCTACAAGGGTGGCAAGTTTCTGGCGGTGGAAGGTTGCACCCCAGATGTTCTCAGCAAAGTCCTTATGAGAGTCACCTACATGATGGCCCTCCTGGTCACCCTGTTGTAGAAGGAAACGTATATATCTTTGATAGATCAACTCTCACTGCTTTCTATTCTGCTTGGTGGTGATGATGAAAAGTAGCTAAGACTGCTCTCTGAGGTCTCCCAAGAGCCTCTAAGTCTAACAAAAAGCAGTTGGAGTGTCAAAAAAGCAACCAAACAGATTGTGGCACCACTACATCTGTCAGGTGCTAGTCATAGCTGCCTTGTTCGCTCTGCCAGAAAACCGCCCGGACAGTGGACGGATTCGGCCGTTGTAGGATCCAACTCTTTTGGGAAAATTCCTCCTTTCTGGAGACATGTTCATAGGGTCTCAAGAAAATGGAGCCACTGATTCTTTCCAATCGCCAGAAGATCCAGGACTGCTGCTGCTTCTGCTTTATGGTGCCAAGGACTTTTCACGGTCTGCTTGGAGGTCCGGGAAATCGAGAAACGTGAAATGATCTCAGACAAATCCGGGCATAGACTGCTCTCACCATTTTTATGAATCCATTGCTCTACTTTGTGGCCTACCAACATACTTGATCCCCCAAACGACAGGACAAACAACAACATCAAGACCGCCACCAACAAAAAACACTGACTGTATGAGACTCCCTAATTCCCCTACCTGACTCTCTGGGGTTGGTCTGCTCAACTCCGCAAATTTGCTTCCACTCTTCGAGTTCGAACCCCAACACTCCCGAACACTCCGCAACCTTCCTGCGATGCCAGCGAAGCCGGTGCCCGAGCTCCAGGCCGCCAGGCAGGACTCGGAGCAGGTGGATGGAATGAAGTTCCAAAAGCATGGAAGAGAATGGAAGACTTCCCCCCCTATACTGCCCCTACCAACCTTTGTTTTCCTTTTTTCCTTGAGGCTCCACAACAGCGAGAAGAAATAACTGTTTCTATTATAGTTATAGTTCCAAGTTCCAAGTGGAGTTCAGTTCTTGAAATGGCAAACAGCTTCGGAACTCCTTTTCACCAAGCCATGCCATAACTTCTCGGGTTCTGATTCGGCCTGTGCGTCGTAGAAGCTGGTCATCGCAAGGATACTTGCTTCTCCCATGCCAGCAGCTAAGGAGCAAAAACCCACCTCGCAAAGGAGGAGCCGCCACCGGCCGGGGGACCAATGAAGGGCGGAAGAGCAAGCAAAACGGCTTGCTAAGTCTAACAAATGACCAAACACTATTACCAGATTCGTCGACTCCTGGTTGTGGTCACGGGTACAAGTAGATTCAGTTTATTGATCTTCACACGACTTCCAAGATCAAATGCTTAAAACCTCTTTCTTATCCTCGAACTGCTCGACCTGGTCCATGTTCGTCTATGTTCACCCCTCAGAATTGAAACAAAACAGATCAATTCAACGACATCCTGAAATCAGCGACCCTAGATGGCCCTAGATGTGTCCATTTGGGGTTTTCAGAGTTCCGGGTGACCCGGAGGTTGGTGAAACTTTGGTACAACTGGAACTGGTGCAGCTAGTGACCCGGAACAATCTGTGGTCAAACTGGTGAACTTCCACTCGATGTCCCTTCCTCCTCCACCCACCGATGGCTTCCGAGGCGCGCCGAGGAGTTTCACGTGGCCGCTGTTGCTCCAAGCGACGATGCAAAGACACAGGACCATGAAGAAGGCCATGAGATTGATCCGACACCTGGCTCGCGCTTTTTGCGGCTGGCGATCTGGATGGCTGCTTCATCTTCGCAAGAGAGCGGCGCCGTTGCAGGACTTCTCCTGAAATTGATCCTGCATGGAACCAATGTTTCAAAGGTTCAGAAAGTGCCCTGCAAAATTACCTGAAGCTCCCTTCGCACGCGGGAATAAGGTAGTTTGCATATGGATTCCAAACTGGACGCTTTGAATCATCTGCTTCGTCTTCTGCACCACAGGGACGGGAGGTACGGCCGCATCTAATCTCCCGTTGCCGTTGTGCAGCCATGCCGTTCCCCGGGACCATGACCACAATCAGAAAGATGGGATGGGACCAATGGGTGGACAGAGTTTGAAGATTCCATTCCAACATGTCCATTCATTGACCTTTTGGTGCTCTTAAATCTGCTCAGCTCTTCGAATCATCACTTTGGATCCTGGGCTACAGGAAGTGTTCTACTGGGCCGCTTGGAAGCAACCATGGCCTTGTGGTGGATGTTCACTTGTGGACGCCAATGTTTTCGCCCAGGACACATACCCAATCTTAGATTCAACAAACCTAAACTCTATAAACTGATCCCAGGAGGCCCAAGAACAGGTTCGTCCGAAGCTCCATGAGCCCCGAGGCAGGGTGGTTCGAAGGTGTGCTGTTTTCGCTTCACCATTCATTCTTGCTCCCAGTAGCGATGCCCTTTGCTACTAGTAGCGTCCTTGCTCCTAGTAGTAATGCCAGGAGCTACTAGTAGCTTCTTGTGAACGCTTCAAAGACCTGAAGCCAGTCTTCAAGTCGACCACCGATCGCCGCAACCGGGGACCAGTCGGACCAGTGATGCCTGTAGCTCACATAGTGGAACCAGTAAGGACCAGTGAGCTTCATGGTGAGCGATGGCACCACATTCACCAGGTAGACTAAAGCAATGCCCGCCTGGCGCCAGCGATCGTGGAAATTTGGGCCAAGGAAGGATGAACCATTCGAGGATTGAATTTCCATCAAGAACTACCCTTTCAACAAATCCCCGTTGGCCGAGGATTGAAATCAAAAACCTGACCGGACCGAAGGACTGAAGACGGGCAAAGGTGGAAGCGATGGGTGAAGACCTTCACGTCATATTTGTGCCATCTTTATGGATATCCGACCTGTGCCAACGATCCCAACCTCCATGTATGGATCTATCTGGCCCAGCTCTCTCAAAACCCTTGTTTATTGTCGAACACGTTCTAGCAAAACTAGAGAACAGCTTTGCAAAAGTATATTCTTTCATAGTCTATCACGTAATGGTTAATCATGGGCTAATTTCTATTTTTGTCAAGGCGTAGCTTGTTTACTGCTTTGGGTCTGTCTGGATTTGCCAAAAGATCGACAACCCCACCGTGAGGTCACGTGTGATTTCCATGAGACGTGTCTTCAGCGAGACCGGAAGTCCCTCGTTCTGCCCGGAGTATCGGTTCCCAATGCTCGTAGCGGCGCGCTATCGCCGTTGAGTCGTATCTCTTGTGTTTCTTTCAGTGCAGCGGGAAATGTGTCTGAATTTGATGATGCGGGTTTACGGGCTTATGCGGCTTTATGGGTTTACGCGGGCTTACGCGGGTTTACGGGTTACGTGGGAAACGCCGATGCCATCAACCACTTAAGGCTCACTTACGGCTAGATGCTGGAACAAATAGATGACATCCAGTCAGATTTCTGAAAAAACGACGTCCTTAAAAGGCCCCAACCACCGGCTGGATTTACATGCAAACATGTGCGCAGCAAACAGATTGATGGCTTGCACTGAGCACCACTTGGTTTGGCACCATGGACACTATAGCGGTTTAGCATTATAACGGTGATGCTGAAAATGCGGGTGTCCTTTTTGAACACTTTTCCAAACAAAAAATGTGCCTTTTTTGTCCTGAAAAATGTTCAAAAAGAAAACATTTGTGATGTTGGTGATGTTGTCTTTGTCCTTTGCATTTCTTGCATCCCTTGAACGCATTCTTCCAGAAACAACCTTGAAAAGGTTGTACTTGACATGAACCTCTGTGAATCTCGGTGGTAAACACCTAAGGGTTGTCCAATAGTAGCCCCTGAGAGGTGAGTTTAGCGTGGCCCCCTATGCGGTCGCAATGTATAACCCTCTCAAGTGATCTATCGCTCTCAGGTAAACCGGTGCAAACCGGTGTAAATCGGTGTAAACCATAGTGTAAATCGGTAAACCGGTGTAAGCCGGTGTAAATCGGTAAACCGGTGTCGTCAAATACCAGACGCGCATGATGTCGCAATGGTTTCTTTTTTGTGATATAAAATGATTCATCATGGCACCAGCCCCTGGACGAGTGATTCCTTTGTCTTAGTCGCAATGAAATATAGCACACAAACACAAGAAGCAAGAACACACTTCAGCTGGCATCTCACCTCATTGATGCTACCGGCGCCCGCGTTCATCACCACCCATAGGAAGTTGTTCAGCAGGCCAAGGATCCAAAAGGCCTTGGCAACTTAAATCAATCCGAATAGCAGAATCCAAAGTATTCAAGTTGGTGTGGATAGAATGCACTTGCGTGCTTTGTCCTTCCAAGACCTTCTGATCTCTCTCACAACATCTCGAACAATATCATTCGTACTTTTCTAATTCGTCTCCTCTGCAAATGCAGGAATGCAAGCCTCACCCTGAGCCCTTGGGCCCTTGGGCCCGGCGGCTAGCTTGGTGGCACTCTGAGTGCCCAACGATGAAGTTCCGGTACCCCCGTGCTCGGCGGCTGCACATGGCTTCCGCTGGTCAATTGGAGTGTTTGGTGTGACAGGATCGCTCGCGCGCGAGGTCCACTGAGGTCCACTGAGGAGGTTGCGTGTGTGATCGAGAAGGTCCAAACTCTGAGGCAACGAGGTCTTAAAGACAGAAAATCTAAGATGTTGGTTAGAGAGGGGCTGTAGGACTGGGGGAGGGCTGTGGAGTCAAAAAGCCAAGGATTACAACTAAACATGGATCAAGCACATTAGTTTGAAGCTGTTCGCTCATTTTGAAACTGTTCGATCATTCAAACAATTTCAAATGATAAGAAACGTACAGCAACAAAATTGGTAGGGGTCTGTTCCATCCATCTTCTGTACTCTTCCATGACTTGTCCAAACGTGTTGGCACCGTGTGCTCCCAAGCAAGGGCCTGAGAGATCTGTCGGTACTTGGTTACCCTGTAAGCCGTCTGCTGCCGATGTATTCGTCTTCTGCAAGTGATCAAATAAGAAGTAAACTAAACCACACGAATCCGGGTGGTTTAAAAAGCTGGGAAGACAAACACTTGGCCCCAGGATTGTGTGTGTCTGTGGCCGATTGCTTCAAGTTCGAGATCTCCTGGCAGGAGACATCGACCTCAACTCCCCAAGAAAACGAATTTGTCGGAGATCAACAAAGTGCTCTTCATCAACTTATCAGTTGGACTGATTATTAAAAACCAAACATATTCATGCCATTGTTAGTGGCAAGGATCTGCATGTGTCTAATGAGGCATATCTTCATCATATCTTCATCATATCTACGGTATATCTACGGCAAAACCGAGTCATTATGAGTAATGATGCTGCTTATGTGGATTTAAAAGTTAAAAAGGTATATCCATCCCAAACCAGGAAACACTTCGGCTGCTGCACTTCTTCAACCTTGGACGCCCGGAAAGCAATACTTCGCGAAGCTGGGTGCGCTCACTGTGCCTCGGCTCATGCGCCAATAAGAACTAGTCGCAAAAACCTCTCAAACATTTCAGGGAAACCCTTTGTCAAATAGATCGATCATCGTATATATAATGTATCCATCAAAGAAAACACACAAACAAACATGAACCACACATCCACATCCTCTGCCTGGAGGTTGTTAGACACCAACATCTCACTTACAAATTTGTAAAAAAAGAATCGAGGCTCTCTCCTGCACCAGCGTCCGGACCCTTCCCCTGACGTCCTACGAACCGCTCGCTGATCTGGGTGTGCCCCACACACCGATGTCCTTCAGTCGAACCTCCGCGTGCGGCGCGCGCGCCGCATGGCATCCGCGTCGCTGTTCTCGGTGTCCCAAAAGTCGAAGCCACAGGTGAAGTCCGGCGCCGTGTCCAAGACCTGAAGCGAGTCGAGTCGCGCCGTCGAGTCGAGGGCGGTCAGCGAGGTCGGTCAGCGACCGGAGGGCGGTCGGTCGGTCGAACTTTGAGGGAACGACCTGGTCGGTCGGTGGGGGAAGAGGGACATCGAGCAGAAACGAGTTCGTTGCAGAAACGAGTGAAAACTCGTTCAGTGTCGAACATGGATTTGACGAAGCACATTTGGCTTCACCCTGAGCTCTTTGAGTTGGACACATTTGACCGAAGGAGCTTACCAGACATCGTGGCACTTCAGACATACACCTCGGGTCTCCGCCGTCGAAACGGGGTACTCGTCCCGGACAGATCACACCAACGACTTCCCGGTGTGAACAGGAGGGATGCTACACCGGTCTGAAGCTTCCTCAAACATGTGTTACACTCCCGGTAACTATCATGGACCAGAATGGCACCGCGTGGTTTTTCAAGGTCCATGTTAGTCTTCAAGGGAGGTAAAGATCATATTGGTCTTACTAGTCGCTCACTGCAAACTACTCTCACATCGAAAACACATGGAAACACATCGCTGGAAACATGCTGTCAACTGGATTGGTGCAGTTCCGTCATGTGGTCGGTTTTCCCACTCAAAACCTGCGTCGGGTCACCAGCCAGTTTCCTCATGTTGCTCCAGAATGACATCGCTTTTGCACAAGCATGGAATCATCAGTCTATTTACACATGGATCCGATGGGCAAGTCTAAGTCTATTTACACATGTTCACCAACATTTGTGTCACGGAAGAAAGGTCTCACCACCTGCCGTTCCACCGGCGCAGGTAGCAGTTGACTACCTTCATCACGCTCCGCAGCACTGATTCCCGTCCGGCCTTCATGACACCGAAGATACAGCCCTGCACCATGAAGCCAAGGCTACCTGAGCACCGCAGGACGAGTCGACTCCCGACGAGTCGCCGCCCCCGGGGTCTACTTCTTCGAATCCTGCAGTGGGTGGGTGGAATCCGACGATGGACTCGGCGGTTTGATACAAACCCCTCCATTTGGATCCCATGAACCTTAGATGAAACCGCTGATTCCGCACTTGGCAGTTCATGTAAGGGAGATGTGATCTCACATCGACTAGCAGTTTTCCGCATTGTGGCAGTTCATGTACGTGAAGCGATCTGACATCTCTATTACCCTCTAGATGCTGTGTACTACTTCTACATACATGTGCAAACTGACATGAATGAGTCCATGCAACACTTCTACGATCCCTTGTTATAATCCCCCACACGCTTATTATATAGGAAATATATTGGATGTTCTGAGATGCTCCTTTTTGGTTGGTCTGTGAACCACTGAAGTTGCAGAAACATCTGCGACTTCACGTTGTCCCCCAGCATTGTTCTCCCACGGCCCTCCGAGCGGGACGTTCCTCGTGGGTGCCACGGCCCTCCGAGCGGCTCGCGAGGATCATCCCGAAGGTGTCGGCCACCGATGCGCTCGAGAGCGCCAACTCCACGTAGGCGGAGGGCTGCTCCTCGTGAGGGCGGAGGGCGCGCGCAGTGAAGCGAATGGCGGCTGGAAAGCGAATTGTGGGGTGAGACCGTGTTTGATGCATTTGGAAGGGTGCCTAAAGTGGAGTGACTGGAGTGGTTGGCCTGGAAAAAAACCGGCAAATATCAGGGTCCCCACAGGGAAGACCAGAAAACCCAAGACCGATGCCGCACCTGCGCCAGCAGTGTGAACGCGCCGACATAGACGCCGCCACCCAAGAAGCCCACGCAGAGGGCCGGGAAGAGGAGCCACCAATGGCCGAAGGGCATTCTGAGCGCGGAAGCATAACAGGTGATGCTTGAGGAGAGAGGCTGTGTACCCGAAGCGTCCGAACAACACATAGGCTACATTTATATATATATATATAACCTCTCTTCTGCGGTCTAGTCTTGAGGGAAGTGCTTAGTGAAGGAACAAAACAAGTGGTGTGATGGATGGTATTGATCGTAGAAGGCCATTGAGGGGTCTATATTGCTGCAAAAACCATGATTGGTTGTGGAACATGCATATTTTATCAAACTTTCTAATTAGTACTGAGGTCAGGTTTGGTTTCTGATGGTTCCTGTATGTTTCTGTATTCATGCATGCCCCATCATTCCCCTACAGTATCATCAAGAACGCCTCTCCTCGAGTCAGTTGGTCGGGTCAGTCAGCGCCTTTCTCCCTGAACCTCCTCAGACACACTGAACCGATGGTCGTCCGGCTGATGTTCTGCTCCTTTGATCCCACAAAGTCTTTGGTAGCCACACGCATTTCAACGCAGCTCATTACGCAGTTCAACTCATTCCTCCCAACATGTTTGAGTGAACTTGAGTCTTGAGAGAAAAACAACTGTACAGCGGCCCACTTTGGTCCCTGTCCCCAAACTGCCCAATGAAGTCGGTCCGTCATCCCAAATCGGCATGTCAACGACCCCATGTTCCCGACGCAGCCCACACTGCGTCCCGCCGGAGTGCAACGCAGCCGCAGCGAAGAAAACGCATAAAAGGACCTGCGTGCCGGTGAGACGATCTGTCTGAGAGTTCTCGAGCCTCGGTGCTGAACTCCATGATGAAGAAGGGAACTCCAAATCATCGATCTGTGATCTGTCTGAGTTGTGGTTCACAGAAGGATGAAAAACACAAGGAGCCTGTCGGCGAAGTGTGGGATCTATACTCTGAAGGCACCGAGTGCCAAGCTGGCCAAGCTGATTGTTGGGCGATTCCCCGCAACAAGAACATCAAACCTTTCAGATGTCCTCTGGACCTCCAGGCCTCCCCCTCACTTGAAATTCACAACCTTCATTGGAAACTGCAGGTTCCTGAATGATTAAGGCACTTAACCCCCTTCAAAGGCCCACGAACCCCACGAACCATCCCACCCACACCCTCACCCAAACCGTCCTATCCCTCCGTACCCGCCCTCCGCGGCCTGAAGGAGTCCACCGAGCCAGAGGACTTTGCGGCTGTTGCAAAGGCACAGGAAGAAGGTCCTCCCGCCGTATCGACTCGACGGTTCCTCCCTCCTTTCCTCCCCGTTCGAACCTGCGGGGTGCGGTCAAGTCCTGTGACTCGATCCCAATAAGGAATTAGCCACCCCTCCAAAACTTGAGACTGAGCCCCTACTCAATCACTGGAATTGCCCAGTCCGCAGTGGTGCTGGGATGCGCGCAGGTGGTGCTAAAGGGATCCCTGCGGGTCGTGGTTTGGGCGACGTATTTTGGGAGGTCGGCAGAAAGGGGGAAGATTGAAAGAGAGACATTGAGCAAAACCACTGCGAGGGTGAGTCTTCACCATGGAAATACCGGCTACCAGCGGCTAACATGCTGATAGATGGATCTTCATGACTCTGCATATGATTCTGGATAAACCAGTCCTAGAAGTGCCAAAGTGCAGCTTGGGACATACTACCCGTTCACCCAAACCGCAAAAAACAAATAGCAGTATCTTCACTGCGCTTCGTCAGCTCAATCTCCTGGACACAAAGACGCCGATCTGGTAGGTGAAATTGGACCACTTGTACCTCAAATAGTGGAAGGAGCGGGAAGCAGACTGACAAACATAGAAGGATATCTGACATCACACACCTCCCATATATTGTACCACGACCGCACGACCGCCCGCCGACCGCACAGACGGCTCCACGCCACCAGTGCCGGCGGCTGATGGGGTCGGTGATGGGAAAGCCCATGGCGGCCCAGAAGCCAGACTGGATCCTCCGGACGACACGGAGGACGAACGGGTTCTGGGTTCCAGCTGCCTCCGTGGAGCATGCGGTACGTGGAGCACGTGGTATGAGTCGATCACGTCACAACGTGGGGTCGCAGGTCTTGGGGAGTCGCCAGGGTTGCAGGTCTAGCGGGTTGGAAGACGATGTGGGACCTTCACAAAGCTTCGAAAAGGAGGGGGGGAAGAGTTGGGAAGAGTAAGCATCATGTTTTTTGTGGAGCCTCCATGACTCTATGTGAGTCCTTGCGGGCTGCTTTCAATGACCAAAGTTAGTCTCAAAACCCACTTGGTGACCTGATATTTCAGGCAGGGGTTGTCATCTTGCAAATGTTTGGCAAGAAGCCTGCTAGGGAAAGCAACAGGAACGATGGTTTTTAGTGCTTATATATACACAATTTGGACCGCTGCCAAAAACGTGAAACCTGTGAAACCTTCCTGTCCCAGGCTCAAATACTCTGCAGCATAGACCCAGAACAAGGGCACAGTGTATGGCCAAAGGCGCAACGTAAAGTGAAAGCGCTCCTGAGCGGAGCGCCGGACGTGCGCCGTGCGCCTCCGTACGCTGGACGGGTGGATTAGTTCGGATCAATGGATCAATGGATCAACATCCAGGCCTCATCTTTTGGTATGTGAACAAACACCGGTTTTGGGCATATCTGCTTGATTGGAGTGTCCCATTGTTCGGGATTAAAGTTTATACAAACACCAGACTAACTCAATATATGAAAACATTTTTCTATGAGGTCCATCTGCGTGTTAAGAAGTGGAGGCATCGTAGGTGCTGTCCCTTCTGGCAGGCTCAGGTGCTGTCGGCTGGAAGATCACATTTTTTTGGACCAATTCAGTGCCAGGACTCGACTACGAGTACGAAGTGTGTGGTTTTGCCATGTTTTGCCCAAACATGCCCCAAGAATGGTCGTCACGACACTTCTTCCAGAAACCGCAGAATTGATCCCTTTTTGATTCCTTTTCGCTGTCTTTCGACCCTGTCTGACACGTCTCTTCATCCGCTCCACCGGTCAGCGAGGCGTCCGGCGTGCCGTACCCCTCGTTACATCGCCCCGCCTTCACGGACAGCGAGGCGGTGGCGACCCAACGACGGCCTGGAGGACCGTGGCAGTCCAAGTCCTGCGGTGCGGGCCGCGGCAACGGCGGGCAACCCGTTGTTCAGGTCCCGTGGTGGAAACGGGAGACGGTCCGTAAACAGATGGAGGTGGTTGGATTGGTTGGATGCAAAGGATTTCGAAGAGAGATCACACATCCAAAGTTGAAAGGAGTGTTTGGAACAAGAACCTCCATGAAAAAGAAAACAATGGTTTCTTTGATGCAAGTCAAGCAAGTCTCCCCAATCCTGTTCCCCAAACTGTTGGTCTTCCCCTCGGACCCACTTCAAAGCACCCACCTCGCGGAAGGAGAACGACCTGACCTTTTCCGTCCGCGGCTCCCGGCTCCTGAGTCTCTTCGGACTCCGCACAACGTGCCTGGAGGACTGAGAGGCTCCGCACAACGAAGCCTTGACTTCATAAGTTGACTGGTCTTCTTGTTCCCCTTCAACCAGTTCCTTAAACCAGCCAAGTTGTTCCCCTTAAACTGGTCTTCTTGGTCCCCTTCTTGTTCCCTCAAGCAATTCTTAAACCAGTTCCCCTTCAAACAGTGTGCAACTAAAAATATTCCAGCCAGCACGTATACCGTAAACCCACTAATAGTGTGATTGCATGGAAAAGACCCTGGTCAGTGTGGGATTTTTGGGGGGGTCCATCAGCTCTATCAACCACCCGAACGTTCAGGTGGTACTAGGAGTAGATTTGCCCATATGCTCCAACAATCTTCAACATGCATAATGGACATGTCTTCATGTTCAAGTTCTTCCACCAGTGTCTCAACAAGCCATGTGGCTGCTTCCGGCCTAAAGCCTCCCTGCTTTCGCGCCACACGGCGTCACGCGGCTCACTTCGCCCGCGCCTGGTGGCGGACCTTGTCGATCCAGGGGACACCCAAAAGCACGAAGAAGGTGAAGAGCCAGGCCACCGGGATCCAAAGCGCCACCATCAGCTGCACCTACATCCGGCTCAGGCAGCCGTGGCACATGGACTGGACAAGAAAAGCTAGCTCTGTGGATGCTACTTTTTGGAAGGAACTGAAGGTGGCGTGGAAGGCTAAGACATGCGATCGATACCACCTATTTAGAGAAGGTCGCCCGTCCATTCTGTTGAAACGGCTCGTTCACAATTCCAACCCCAAACGAGCAACCAAACGGAAACAACCAAACGGAAACACCAACCGTTTGCGTTTCCAAAGACCTGAACCAGCCATCCACCCAAACCCACCCTGTGCCTGGAAACAAATGTCCAAGCCATCAAAGGTCAATGACCTCGTTCGGTCCCGTTCACGGACAGCAGAGAGAATTAGATGCCGTTTGATGCCCAGGTGGATCACATCCCAACACGATGGTAGCATATGATCATACCAACAGGATGATGAAGAATTTGCATGTCAATGATCCCAATTTGAAGGAAAATGCCTAGGGCCTTGGTTTTTCAAGTTTCTCTTGTCCCAAGTATGGGCCCGGTACCATTTCCACATCCTTCCACCAAAGCGGTTTCTGCAAGTGGTCTCGGTTTCTGCGTGCGGCTGACGTTGGATGCCGGGTGGTTTGTAGTCATTGGTCCGAGCATCCAAAAACCGGTATCCAGGCTTCACTATAATATACTGCTTCACGATGCTTCAGTTGAACAAACGAGTCATGGAACACAAGTCTTGCTGGTATGTCTCCCAATGATCATGGTCGGACTCAGAATCTGCTTGCCCATCGGATCGAGTCAAGCATCGAACAACCAAATTCCTCCCGAGAGCATCTCCAAACACGGGAGTTTGTACCTGGAGACTCCAAAAGTTTTGTCCCTGGACTCCAGACCAGGGCTTTCTCGACTGACTCTCGACCAGGTGGCCACAAATAGCCCGCGATGCCACTGAAGCCAGTGCCGGAGGACCAAGCAGACAAGCACACCTCGGCACATCCCGCTCGGTGTATGGCCAGAAGATACGCGACACATGTCCTGGTACAAAAATTGATCCATCAATCCATCAACCGAAAAGAGAATCCAAACTGCTCGTTTTGAAGGTGAAGCCACACTCGATCCCAAACAGCATGAGACCCACATGATGCCACCATGGGACCCCAAAACAGCACCAACATGATCCAAAGCTCGTGGTTAACCACATCTAGCTTTCGAGGGAAAGAACCAGCATGCCACACAAGCTCCTGACCGGTCCAAGACCATTCCAAGACAATGCTCGCTTCTTGCATCTGTCCATGCATCTTTTACATGTGAGGCGCATGTTTGAAGAAACAGGCTACTAATCCTCCACCTGACACCTACTAATCCTCCATATAAGGCTACTCATAATAAAGTGTATATATATATATATTAAGTTAGTTCACCTGACACCTTCATCCTCCAAACTCGGCAGGTTCGACTCCCGTTCCATTGAGAAGTGGACACCACCCTGAGCCTGTAGAGCCATTTCAAGGTCTTCCCGCCATGCCATCCACTTGCATGTTGATGAGTCGGAGAGTATCCGAACTGAAGCGCTCCACCGGTCCAAGACCCCGGTCGTTTGAGGAGGTGGCCTCGCCTGTGCATCGTAGAAGCTGGCCATGGCCAGGAGTGAGGCCTCACCCATGCCACAGGCCACCGAGCAGAAGGCCACCTCTCCCGCTGCGGTGCGCAGTGCCGCCGAACGGCCGGAGAGTCGGCTCCGAAAGAGTCTGTTTGAGTATCCCTGGGCCAGTTACAACGATGTTCAGTTACAGGTGCAGCCAATATATTCGAGAAGCAAAAAACTGGAGAACAATCCAATCAAAGGATATATAATATATGTCTAAAAATAGTAATATTACATAATAATGTAATGAAGGTGGGATAGATGTCATGATGGGACTAATCCTTTCACCCCGTAATTCTATCAAGAACAACTCCATTCTGGCCAAGTCTCTCCCACCAGCTTCAAATACCTGGGCAGGAGCCGCGACTTCGGCTGAAGGACAGGATCGATATGATCAAGGTGACGTGTGGCGAGCATAGATCTTACTGTACATTATCATACATGATTACATGGTCATACACTGGATCTGCGCAGTTGCTTGGTGATCCAAGGCATCCAAGTTGCGGGCTCTCGCCCCAGGCTACTGTTCCCAAGCTCAGTACCATGAGCAGGGCCATCCAAACCATCCGCACCCTGCCCACAGTTGCTGCTTGTCCATCAGCTTGGGAGAAAAGGAGAGAAGTAAGACACAGCCACATGAGGGTGTGTCAGCATTAGTTGTCCCCTCAAAGACATGTGTTTTGCGGTTGTTGAACCATGTCAGCCGCTTTGGGGGGATGGCAAACGGAGCGACGCTTCATCATTGGCCCTATTGATGAGGAATCCCCTCAACTTCTGACAACAACCTCATGCGCGTGTAGACAAATGAGACCCCAACATGAGCAAAGACAAATCACTACAGCTTGGGTCTATCCTATTACCTGTAACAGTGGATGATGATGGTTAGGTTGCAGGCCGTCCAAAAAAAGTGATTTGCTTGTGAAACCTGACTGTTACAGCGTTACAGTCGGACAGACCCCAACTACAGCAGGGCTGGGGTTCCCAGTCGCTGGTGCCTCGCCTACATCGCCTCCATGGATCTCCAAAGGAGTGACCACCCACTTGCTGGTGCTTTCCTCTGAAGTGTTTTGACAGGTCCAAGAAGAAGCAAAGCGTCCAGTGTCGCTATAAGGATGCAGGAAAAAAAAAGAAGGAGCTCCCGTGTCCGGTGTCCGACCTGAAGAAATGGTTGGCCGAAGTCGGACCTCTTTGGACCTCTCTTCCACCTGGACCTGTGAGTTCAGAAAGTCCTTGGACTTGCCGTCTGGTTTTTTGATGCCAAAAGGATTGGAAGCTTTGGCCCAAGTTTGCTGGAGCCTCAGATCGACTGTGCACACATGAGATTTTTGGACCTGTTGAGCCCTGAGCTCACAAGCTCACTTGAGCTCACCAACTCTGTAAGGGTGACTCTCTCTCCGGTCTGCTCTGTCTCGCCATCTCTCGCCTGTAGCTTACGAAATGGAACCAGTACGGCCCAGTGAGCTTCATCGTCAGTGAGGGCACCACGTTGGCCAAGTAGACCATCCCGATGCCCGCCTCGCGTCGTCGCGTCGTCAGCGCGTCGGCGCGTGTGTTGTGGGTCACGTCAGTCGAGCGTGGTGTGGACCAGAACCTGAAAGCTGTAGGGCCACTGGGGCTTGCAACTGTAGAACAGCCACTTCTGTTGCTCCCTTAGTGTTGGAAAGGCTCTCTCTAAAGTGGAACCCCAAAACACCAATACAATACCTTAATTGCAATCGTTTGCCATGATTCTGGTGGACCCTGGAGAAGCAAATCTTCTGAAAGTCGGCCTCTGGATGTCCACCGTTTTGTACAATCCGGCGAAAATCAAGAAGACCAGAGTCAGAAAAGCCCTTTGATTCCCACCCTCATGACCCTTTCGCTCTTGAATAGAAAGAACAAATAGTCAGGCCTTGTTGATGCTGTTGGCCCCAGCATTCATGGTCACCTCAGATCTGCATGGTGAACCGACGCTGCACAGCGTCGGCTCACGAGGTGAGATCCCTGGTGAAAAAAACATCGGACACCCCAACTGAATGTCCTCAACGCATCACAAGATGACCCTTTAGAAGCCATTGTCTATATTGGTGATCCGCTTCCGCTCAGCTGTCTGTCCTCACTGTAGTGACAAACACAGCAGCCAAAGCAGCAGCTTCAATCAAAACCATGATCACCAAGTGGAATAATCCTCCATCATTTTGGCTGTTTTGCTTTGCAAGACTTACCCAACTACCATCAAGTCAAACCAACTGGTGCCATTTTTCTGCTTCCAGGTTGCCCAAAGAAAATTGTTCAGCAGGCCCAGGATCCAAAAGGCCTGGGTCGCGGCAAATCGCTGGGTCGCGGGGGCCTCACTTCCCATCTTGTAGTTGATTGCAGCTAAGGAACTCATTGACGTAATGAACACCAAAAGCACACACATTAGTACAACATGCAATGTTTTGTCAACGGGGAGTTGCCCGGAAAGGCAACCTTTCCGATGACCCAACATGGTCTGGTGGGATGCAAATGACCCACTTCGCTGATGATGATGATGATGATGATGATGATGATGATGATGATGATGATGCGGATGATGAGCTGATACGCTAAGTACATTATGCGGATGATGCGCGGTTGCTTCACCATTATGCGAATGATGCGCTGACACATTACGGACATGATGCGGTATGATGTGGTGATGAGCTGATGCGTTGCGGGCGTGATGCGTAGGATGAGCTGATGATGATATCTTGAAAATCCACTCAAGTCATCGTCTTGGAGTTCATGGACTTCAAAACGATGAGTTGAGTGACCCGAAGGACAAAAACAAAGTAAACCGCATGGTTTTCTAGCCCTCCATGTTGCTTTCGGGCAAACCCCCCCATTTACCCAACATGCAGCAGCTCCCCCCATCGTGGCCCCTTGTGCGCAATGGTGACTACAGAACAATTCAGGGAAGGGTTGTAGTCGAACGTGTTTAACACGAGAAATGAGAGACCCTGTTCAAACTTCTCAATGGAAGCAGCATTTGGAGAGGTCTGAAAACAGTGGATCAAAGCAAAAACAAACCACGCGAACCTCCAAGAAATCATGCTATGTGCGAGGCCATCCCGAACAACTCTTTCCAGATTAGGACCTGAAGCTACTCCTAAAGCTCTAAGCCTCTAAGCGGCATTCATTTGACCTTCGGTAGTCCATGTGTTTCGAAGATGTGCAACCTACCAACCTATGCCGTGGGTGCAACCCAAAGAGATCTCATCCTTTGTGGCGGATTTTAGTGGCAACACCAAAACACTGGACATTGTGTTCTGGGAAAACCTGCAGATATGGATGGCCCATTAATCCATTGGGAAATGGGCCAGGCAAACAACAAACAACACCGTACAACTCCCATTTTGTTCCAGGGTTCCACTGACAGACTAATCACCTACAGCGTCCAAAGGCACCCAGGCGCTTTCTTCTTGGTCACCGGGTGGCTATGTACATCCGGTAAGGCCGACATCGCTCGCGCATCCTTGGGCGCTGAAAGACATGTGGAGCAGGGAGCAGGAGTGCCCATTATTTTTCTGCACGACCTAGAGATCCCAAGAGATTGCGAACGTGTTGGTGTTCCTCATATCTGAGACACGCTTGGATATTATGTTTGGCACACACTTTCGGGCACCCTCTTGCATTGGAACACGAGCCCAATCTGAGCAAACGCGAACCTCTTGCTTTGTTTTGAAGCAACTTCAGAAAAAAAGGAACAGGCATCCGCTTCTCTGTGCTCATTTGCTTCTTCCCACAAATCTCTGCCAGATCTCAAAAGGACGAAGACCAACCCCAAAGTGTTCAAAGGTCTTCTGTCAGTGCACTGCTTTTTGGCCCACAAACCCAAAGGTCGGCGACAAAAAACGAAAAAAACAGTGATGGTGCACAAGGTCAGGTCCCAGGTGAAGTTGCTTGAGGAAACACAAACCTCCATATAGTATACCTGGACCATCCGACCATCTGGGTGTCCAGTCTGTAGATCCCAAGCCAGGACAGCCAGATGGTTGGATGGTCCTGGTATATGCCAGAGCCCCTAGTAGTAAGGCCAGGAGCCCCTAGTAGCGTCCTTGCTCCTAGTA